TAAACTAGAGGAAGATAAGGAGGACTTTTACAAAAAAGTAATAGTAACTTGTTGTCCAGAAGGAGAGCATGGACTTCATCTTCAAGTCAAGGTAAGACCACAATTGTAATGAACATGGGATCTTACTAAGAAAGAACAATCCAATATTTAGATTTTGGGTATCCTTTTGTTGAACGGTCTGTTTAAAATGAATCGAAGTATCAGACTAAAAAAGCTTTTGAAAATAATCGAACATTTCGATTAAGGTCAAAATATAATATTTGTAAATCTGACTGAAAGAGTCAGTGCCTCACCAGCCATGAACCTCACCGCACGTCACTGATCATCAGCTACCATGTCTGACAGAGAGGAAGACAGTGAGGAGAACAGTCAGGAGGGTAGTGATGACAGCTTGTATTACTGGTCGTGCTAATGTTGTCTTGTGTTCGCCTCTGCATGTGTGTTCTGTGTTCACCTCTGCATGTGTGTTCAGTGCCGTGTGTCTGGCAAATAAAGACCGGTTTATTTATTTCATTTTAAGGATGAGTACCAAGCAACATCTCCAGGTGCTCCTTTGAGAACCAGGGCAAAAAAGTTATGTGCACCCCTGGTTATGAGTGAGTTTCTGTGCAACACCCCGTTAGCATGTTTTGCTCGTGGCTAATTCATAGGCTCAGTGCTATTTTTTATAAGTCGGGGGTGGACCGAACATCCTTTAGGGGGGTCGTCGCCTCCTCTCGGGGGGTCCGGGGGCATGGTCCCCCGGGAAGATTTTTTTTTAAATATTGAAGTTGAAAGCATTAATCTGGTGCACTTTGAGAGCAACATTAACCCTACCTTAATAACACCTTAAAGCGGACAAAAGGCACTGGAGAACACTCATTAACACCCTTTAATGAAGCAAACTAATGCCTTAACTCACTCAAATAGTCGTTTACTTATTAAGGTGAAACGAATGTGCGTAGAGTTTTAAAGGATGCGGATAGTCTCACCTTGATTCTGGCGCATTGCTTATCGTTTTATAGATCTATTCTCATCCACCATCTTTGTTTGTGACGTAAAGAGTGTAAGAGTCACGTTTCTGAATCGGACACTCTGAGTGGATGCAGTCACAGCCAATCGGAGTCTGATTCAGAGGGTTGCCTGTCAGTTCTGTTGTTATGTGTACTGAAACGAGAGCCGGTATAATTCCACGCGCGAAAAGAAAATACAAATTGGAATACGTTATTTTAGTGTCTTAAAATTAGACTGAGGTATGAAGGGTTAACGTTACATCTTAGGATAATGTTTAGTCATGTTCTGTATACATACTAACATATAAGGTATACTTAGTGTGGTTACTCCATGTTTACTAGCTATAACATTAACGTTACATCACTCTTTTTCACTTCTTACTCAGTCAGCCAGAGTGCAGATATCACCATTAGATTAACTAACCTGAAACATCATCCATTTCTTGACTGCTGGTGATGACATTGTTGTCAGCTGCTGATACTGCTGCTGCTGCAGCTTGTGGCGCCTGCTTCGATGACAATAACTTTCTAATATCCATAACTGTATAGGCTATTAGCTTAAAACTCATCAGGCACTAGGAAGGATCACTTATTCTTCAGGGCAGGATACGCAGTACGCAGGCTAACGTCCCACAGTGGCTGCCTCTCTGTTGGACTCCGGTACTGCACATTACTCCCGAGACGTTTTTAAAAAAAATTTACATTTTTTTTTAAGTGAAACATCCGGGGCTTTTCAGAAAACATCCGGGGCTTGAGCCCAAGTAGCCACCCCCTAGCGCCGCCACTGCCTCAGACGCTGTTTCCTGCAGATGACGCGTTTTTCCCCCCGGTATCGGGGGTGCGGTGTAGAAGAGGTTAAAGGTCCCATGTCATGACCAGAGATGGGGTCGTTACTAAGAAAATGTAATATATTACATATTACTTTTTTAAAAAGTAATATATTACACTACTTCGTTACTCTCTACATAAAGTAACTATTTACTTTACTCGTTACTTTACTCGCCGAGCACGTACGAACTGCGCATGCCTGAGTGGCAATAACTCTCCTTACCAGCAGGCAGCGGTAGTGTGTATTAGTAATTCGAAACAGGCAACAACCGGAAGACAGAGAAGAAGAACAGACTACGTGATATAAACAAACAACAAATAGCGTGTGCATTAGCTTTACCTTAGCATGTGTTCTTTGCAGGTGTTTGTTGAGGTTTGACGTGGTGTTTGCAGCAGTGGATAACAGCTTCTGGCCTGGACACAGTTTGCACCTCACCGTCACATTCCTGTCTATTCTTCGGACGAACTCAAAATAATGGGCATACCTCCACCCCTCGAAAGTTATCGCTGACTCAGCCATGTTTATGCAGCACTGCACGTGGAGATGTGGACGCGCAGATTACGTACATATAAACCTGCGGCGGAAACCCCTCTTGTCTGTCAGTGTGATTATGGCTGATTTTCGTAAGTAACGAAATAACGCGTGTCGGGGCAATGTTAGTAACTGTAGTGTGATTACTGAATTATAAAAGTAGCGCGTTACACTACTCCGTTACCGACAAAAGTAATATTATTACCCAACTCTGGTCATGACCATTTCTACTGATCATAATTCCATTGTTGAGGTCTACTAAAATAGATTTATATTGTGCAATTTTCCAAACTCACATTGGTTTCTCATACAGCATCTCTGTATAGTATGTGTATTCACCGGTATTCATTCTCTGTCCTAAACGGCTTGTTGGAGCTCCTGCCCCCCCCCCCCCCCCCTCCCTGTGAGCCCAGTGTGCTCTGATTGGTCGGGACGTTGCGAGGCTCGCTGCTCAGTGAGCTGGCTTACTGGTTTGGTTTCCAGGTCGGCGATACAGCGAGACAGCGCAAAACTCATCCTGAGCACACACACACACACCTGATAACTCACAGCCGAAGTAAAAACTCAAATTTTTAAATCAACACTTAAAACTCACTTTTTCTCTTTGGCTTTTGTTTAATTATCTATTTATTCATTTATTTATTTATTTAGTTATTTATTTATTTATTCATTTAGTTCTTTATTTTAATATTTATAACATAACATAGGATTTCATAAAGTATTTTTAAAATAGTTTATACATTATTCAAATATAGAAATAGTAGATAGGATTACTTAAAATATAGTACCTTATATTTCATCTTTTTTCCCTTTAGACCAGTGCTTCTCAAAGTGTGGTCCGCGGACCACTGGTGGTCCGTGAGCGCCCCCTAGTGGTCCGTGAGTATATTGGTAAAATTTCACATTTTTAATTAATTAATTAATTTAAGTTTTCCGCACTCTCGCGGGAATATCACCGCAATGGAGCGAGCTTAAGTTTCACTTTTGATTGCATGATATAACCCAGATAAACACCTTCATCACACATGTTGCCACTTGTTTGTACAATTTTCAGGCGATTTGTAAAAAACGATGTGTTTTTGGATATTTGTGGAGTTAGGTGGTCCGCGAGAGTTTTGTTATTGGTTAAGTGGTCCTTGGTATGAAAAAGTTTGAGAAACACTGCTTTAGACCCTTGCGGTTTATTCTTAAAAATCCTTACCCTTACACACCCCCCATTTTCTCTCTGCTGGTCTATGGCCTTGTAGAGGGTAACGGGGTACAGAGTCGCTTAGATAAGCAGGGGAGTGCATCTGACGAAGAGATAGGTTGTTGTGCTCCCTATCTCTGTTTCTTATCCTATATCTAATAGAACTGCTCGGGTATTGATAGATTGAGTGGGGAAGTTCATGAGATGTTTCTATAGGGTTATCAAGAATAACTTTTATCCAATGACCTTTTCCCTCTCTGTCTGTGTCTGTGTATTCTCTTGTTCTGATTAACCCAGCCAAATCTTTTTACTTGTTTTGTATCTATATCTACGCCGGGAACCGGAGTCGAGGCTGATCCTCTTGCTGTAGTCCTGTGTCTTGGATCCTCTATCCTGAGTTCTGGATTAAGTCGTGGACTTCGGGTCGTGGCTGAACCTGTCTCTGCGGTCCTGCCTTGGGTCTCGTCATGCTGCTTCCCTGATGGCTTCCACAGGATTGTAGCTGACATCCTCGTGGATTCATCTTCTTATTACAGACACATGCATTTCCTAACATTCGGTCTATATGCTGTAAAATGTATTATCTCTTCGATTTACACACGGCATCTATTGCACGTCTGTCCGTCCGGGGAGAGGGATCCCTCCTCTGTTGCTCTCCCTGAGGTTTCTCTCATTTGTCCCCCTTAAACTGTGGGTTTTCTCTGGAAGTTTTTCCTTGTACGATGTGAGGGTCTAAGGATAGAGGGTGTCGTTTTTCTCATACTGATATTCTAAACAATCTGTGCTGTTGTATTTGCTGTAAAGTGTCTCTACTGTAGGCTATTTTTATTTTATGTACAGCCCTAAGGCTCGACCAAAAATCGTTTATAAATGTGCTATATAAATAAAACTTGATTTGATAAAAACAGTATGTGTGGCTTGATATTGAGCAAGAAAAAGGTTTATAAACGCTGTGAGAATGGGTCTGCGGAGAGCATTTCTCCGTGATCCCAACTCGTCTATTACCAACCAGGGAGCTCTATGCAAGTCAATGGGACTCGCTGTTAGTTGAAAATGTACGCTAAAGGTCCCCCCACTGCGTTTGATAGTGACGCCAAGGGATCCTGGTGTGTGAGGAGCTCCGTGGATTGGTCCATTTTGGTTCCCAGAAGAAACAAATGGAAAAAGAGAAATCTCCAACGAGGTGTTCTGGGGCAGCATAGACAGGTCTTTTCTGTATTAGAGTTTTACTCGCTACAGGGTGTACTTTGAGGTTTTTTGACTCTGCAGACCGTTTACATGCATAAAAACCTTCATAACACACAAGGGGACGGGAAATAACCGGAAAAGCGTGACATGGGAGCTTTAAGAGAAAATGCTGTGGTTGAGAGAAATGTTACCAAAATAAGGGAGACAAAATTTTTTTACAGTCCACAAATTGTTTGTCTAATGTTAACCTTATGACGCATCTGACACATACCTTTGTAGCCCCAAATCTGTACTGAGTGTGGTCCACGTCAATTGAACCAAGAAGCTTCTCAGAAGCCTTCTTTCCGTCAATGAACTGTCCCTCGGGAAAGGCACTGGCATTCAGGATTTTGTATCTGTTCAAAATTGGATAAAATGTATATTTCAGAAACTGTATTTGTTTTCCTTATGTTCTTCTTTCAGGTAGAAATCGATGCTGACCTCTGCTTGAAGTCAGCATAAATGATCCTGCTGGGGAATCCCTTCCTGCAGATCCGGATACCCTCCAGAACGCCGTTACAGCGCAACTGGTGGATGACCAGATGATTGTCCGTGATACCTACAATGAAGTGGACATTACACTAGGAGCATATCTCAATATCATGGATTTCATTTTTCAGTGTACCAAACAACAGCCTTGGAATTTGTGGATATGCAATTTCTTGAAAATCTGTACCTGGTGTTTTAACCTCATTTGGAATCAGGCAACGCACAAAGTGAGGATGGGTGCTCCTCAAGTTGGTCATGAGTTTTCCGAGATTTTCCTACAGTAGATCAATGGTCATTAGATCTTAACCGAACAAGAAAGTTGTATCAGAACAGTGTTTTATAAATGTTGTACCCTGAAAACAGCAGACACCGTCTGAAATGAGCCACCCTTCTTCTTTGCACCTTTCTTTGCAGTTTTGCCGCCAGCATCTCCACCTGATTCTACAAAGAAGACAGAAGATTTTGAAAGCATACGCTTTCACACCAAGTACTTTGCCGTACTTAGTTCCCAGCACTTAGTTCCCCCATGAAACTAAAGAGCAGATCGCGTTCACACCGGAATAAGTCCCTGGGGGTGGATTACGCAAATGAAGCCGCTGACGTCACTTCTTCTTCTTCTTCTTCTTCTGCTTTGGGTTTACTGGCAGGCCGCAAACAACTTCACGGCATATACTGCCACCCGAAGTCCCCGGCCGGAAGTCCCCGGAGTTGGAGACTGGCTTCAGTAGAAGCTGCTGGGACTCCCAGCAGCTTCTACTGAAGCCTTCCGAGTAAATCGCCAGAATGCCGACACCTCCTCATCACTCCACCGTTCTCATGTTTTTTGTTGTGTTGCCATAAGTTAGTCTCTCTCCGTTGGTGCGCTGGGCTAATGCTAATAATGCTAATGCCAGCAAATACAATGGCGGCTTCACAAAACTTTTCAGAGTTTTACGGGGCGTGGTTTGCAATTCGCCCAGCCAATCAGAAATTGGAACTTTTTTCTCCCCAGGAAAGTACATGCTATCTAGCAGGGACTGAAAAGGGGGGAAAAGTTCTCATGAACTAAGTTCTCTTTTTGGTGTGAACGCAAAATCCCTGGAACTAAAAGGGAAAAGTAGCCTATGGGTAAAAGTACTCCGATGTGAAAGCGCCTGTATGAAACCCAGAGGTTGTTAGAGGTGTTGTTCAAATAATTGCCACCTCAGAGTCCCGCTCGTCTTTATTAAGACTTAAGTTTCTGTCTTTCTGCAAATGTTGTACCTGCATCAGTGGCAGAAAACGAAGCATACAAGTAAGACAGCAATTTCATTGATGACTTCTGGTAAAGCTGCACCACAGACTCATTCAGAGGGTCTTTGTTCTTCTCCAGCCAGCCGGTGATGTTGTAGTCCACGGTGCCGGCATAGTGCAGCAGAGTAAAGTGAGCCTCAGGCTTGCCTTTGACAACCTTTGGCTTTTGGAAAGCAATGTTTTTTCCTAGATGCTGGTCGTAGAGTTTGTTCTTAAAAGAAGTGTCTGATGCCTTGGGGAACATACACTCCTCTTCAAGGATGGAGAAGATGCCCATTGGCTGTTGAAGGAACCACAGACATACATTAATCATGGTGTCTAAAGGGAGAAAATGGTATGGTAGAATGGACATAACCATTCAAATTAACTTAGCAGGATGGTTAAAGCGGCCATCTCTATGTATACCGTTGACATTGTGACCGTTGTAGTGGTCATACTCCAGTAAACTATCCCCCCCTACAGATGGCTGCAGACTAACTATGGTGAGGTTTGGAAGTAACAACATAAACAGGCTTTGGAGAAGTAGCTAGCTAGCTAGTAACTAGCAGATCGCTTGCTAGTCAGCTACTGTAGCTTGCTAATTCTTCTATGCTTTGATTCTATTCTGGTTGTAGAAAATGAGTTCCACACTTTTCCCAGTGAGGTGCAACCAAACTTATGTCCTAACTGAGGTGTGTTGTCACCATTACAAATTAACAACAATGGCTATTTGCTTTTGTACTAGTCAGATAACCATAGATCCAGTTCAAGGACAATTCTTATACTTTTCTATATAAATAAATAGATAAACTAATGTGTGTTATATAAATCTTACCCTTTCAATGAGCTCAATGCAGGCCGCCAAGTCCATACCAAAGTCAATGAACTCCCAGTCAATCCCTTCTTTCTTGTACTCCTCTTGTTCCAACACAAACATGTGGTGGTTGAAAAACTGTTGCAGCTTCTCGTTGGTGAAGTTGATGCAGATTTGCTCCATGCTGTTGTACTAAAGACAAGTATTAACACATGACATATCAAAATAAAACTGAGAATCATCACCATCAACTGACCAAAATAAACCTAATTGTCCAAACTCACATCAAATATTTCAAATCCAGCGATGTCCAACACCCCAATGAAGAACTGCCTTGGTTGCTTTGTGTCAAGCATCTCATTGATGCGTATCACCATCCATAAGAACATCTTCTCATAGATAGACTTGGCCAGGGCACCAACTGCATTGGTGACCTACAAAGGAGATTTTGAGGATGAATGTTTTGCCAACACAAAATGTGTATTTTTAGGCAAATTTGGTAATGACCTATTTATCTATATCCTGTATATTGGAACTCTCACAGTACCTGGGGGACTGTCTGGCCTTTGGTGACATATTCATTCCCCACTTTCACTCTGGGGTTGCAAAGACCCTTCAACAGCTCAGCAGAGTTCAGAGCCATGAGGAAAGCCACTTTGTCTGCCACTGAGACAACACATTTTTTGTATTAATACCTGCATGTTTTCCTTATGAACAAATAAACTACTACAACTAAATTGAGAAGTCTTACCCTCGGTGCCGTCGGGCTCCGCCTGCTCCTCCCGCTGCTTTTGCTTGAACTTCATGTTCCCATAGTGCAGCACAGCGCCAGTCAGCTTGTAGATGGACAATTTCTCATCGTGGGTGAAGCCCAACACATCAGTGGCAGTCTGTTAAACAGAGTATTAGGGTGAAAAAAAATGTGTTTATCTTCCTAAATGGCAACCGTCAGAACAGGAAACAGTGTTGACGACTTTTATATGCACTGGCGTATAAAAGTCGTAATTTTAAGCAAGTTTTCTGTATTCTATTAGCTCCTATTTGAGTTGAATAAATACACTTTATGAACTAGCAAATACAGGAGTATGGCACCAGTAAGACTGCCTTGTTAATTAATCAGAAAAACACTATAAACAAACTTATAATCCCTAAAACGGACAGTGTCTTTCTTTTCACTGTTTCAATTATCACCAAATCTGGTTTGGTTTGAAAAGACCCCATAATTTCACAAAGATAATCGCCAATCACCACACTCTAATGTGTAACCATCTGAAAGTGGTAGACAAGAGATAGCTCACATCAGTAGCCACCAGCTCTTCTTTGTCGTCGATGCTGGCCACAGTGATCTGTCCCTGACTGATCATGGGGAAGTCATACGGGTTTGTTGAGATGAGAAGCATTTCTGAACATAGAAACAGAAACTTATTATCATGAATTTATTCAACAAACTGTATCTTAATATGATACAGATATAATGTCCTCAGCATACCTATCAGCTCTGGTTTGTGGCCAGTCATTATCTGATAGAAGATGTGGTAGCTCCTCTCTTCAGTCAACTGGAAAGTCACTCTTGACTTCTCTAGCAAATCTATATTGAATGATATAACACATTATTCTTTTAAAACTAAATAAACAAATGAATAGATAAACAAATAAAGTATAACTTGAAATACACTTGGTATCAATTTGGTATTGGTATTAGTCTCATAATTTTACACACAATTAAAAGCCCTAACTTTACTTATACATTTTAATGAACATTTTTACAGTGGAAAAACAAACTTACAGGTTTCAATATCCGCAGAAGCAAGTTTTCCTGAGGTTCCAAAGTGAATTCTGATGAATTTACCCTATGAAAGATCATACATTCTTCTGTGAAATTGCCCGGGTGAAAGGCTCATAAAAAAGGCTTTGAGATGAAGGCTATTCTTGGATCTACTGTCGCTTGTTTGAAGCTTCCATGTTGAGAGCTGATACTTACAAATCGTGAGGAGTTGTCATTCCTCACAGTCTTGGCATTCCCAAAAGCCTCCAGCAAAGGGTTCGCTGAAATAATTTGATCTTCTAGCGTCCCCTGGAAGACACAGCCACCTTCATCACATTCCCATTCTATTTTTTATTTTCTATGCTTATATCTTGTTGAGGGATTACCTGTATTTTGCTAGATGAGTGCTCTTTCTTGTCGCCTCCAGCCTCTGCGATGGTCGCAAAGTACTGGATGACACGCTTGGTGTTGACAGTCTTCCCTGCACCAGATTCTCCACTATGAATACAGAACAAAAAATCATCCTGTCTATTTTTTATGGACTAAATTATAAAATACATTTGGACTAATACGCAACAGGACTCACGTGATCAGGACAGACTGGTTCTCACGATCTGTTGATGATAAATCTTGTCAGTGACAAAATAACTTAAAGGCCCTGTCATTATGAGCAATGGGATCCTTTATAAACACTGTTATACAGCTGTGAGGGATTTCATTATATCTTTAGTACCACTATGTTAACCCATAAGGACCCACCGTGATGCAGGTGTTACATGACATTTAAATATTCTGGAAAGTTCCTTATACAGCTTTAGCCTTGTCTTTATCTTATGAAGTCCCTAAGTGACACACCCTGAACAGTCTGGTGGGTCATGGGCCAGGTCATGTGATTTTGTGTTCCCATAACAACATGTTGAAGATGTCATTAATTAAAGGTGGGGTATGTAATTTATTTCAGAAACACTTTTTGTTATATTCCATGGAATGCTCTTAACATCCCGATAGCAATGAATATCTTAAGTGCTTTGACAAAAAATACTGTAAAAAGCACGACCAATCATCTGAGCCGGCTCGGCTAAAGTAACTGGATGGCCTACCTGCCTGTCAGCCTTCCATCTGTGCACAAACTTATCTCGTGCCCTCATTGGTCATATGCGCGTTCGTGTGTGTTGGAAGAGCAGCTCTGTAAGGAAGTGGCAGATTTTTTCCGGTTGTGTATTTTCAAATTCTAGCGCACTCGAGCTGGTTTCTCCAAAATGACATACCCCACCTTTAAGTTATAAATAAGAGTTACTTTACTATTAATGCCCAATGTGACATATATGTCACTTTTCAGATCTTTTGCACTATGGGGGGTTACTTGTGTATGTGGTCTATTTAGTCTAAATTATGTTCCCCTAATTTCCCCAAAAGTAGAAATGGGTCTGGCTTCTTATGTTCAACATTAAAGGTCATCATTATGTTATAACAAAGACTCAAAGCTCTGTTATTCTGTGAGAGGCTCAAATATTTCCTCCTTCTTTCTTACCTGTAAGCATATTTTGATATGCATTATCAGAGACAGAGAAAATATGTGGCGGGGCCTCCATGCGCTTCTTCCCTCTGTAGGCCGAGACCACCTTTGGGTCGTACACCGGCAGCCACTTGTAGGGATTTACAGTGACACAGAAGAGCCCAGAGTACGTCTGCAGGTGGAAATAAACAGTGTGTGAGGTAAGAGAGTTCAGAGAATCAAATACAAAATTGTGAAAAAGTCCCTTTCATTACTGACATAAATCATCCAAGCTGCATAACGATCTTTGAGGTTAAACAGCACAGAGGGCTCGTTGAGGTAGGTCATCATGGCCATGTCCTCCATCTTGTCATACTTTGGGGGATTCATAGCATGGCAATCTTCCTCCTTGACTGTTACAATCTGGAAAATAAAGTGAGAAGAGGATATGGAATTATATTTATTGAACAAAAGAGGATATTCCTGCTGCAGAAGCTTTAGATCACATTAAGAAAAGTATCTTTGGCTTCTACAAAGTTCACCATGGTACAGAATGATACATAACACCATTTAAAACATTCAAATATACAGCATACAAAAGTGGAAATGGGCATGTAGCGAAAATGTTGTAAAGCTAAATAACTAACTTTACATTTATCATACAGAAATTCTGATTCAAACAGCAGCTGCCTGGAATGTATGTAAAAAAACACTTCAGCACGCTTTAAAACTGGTTAGCGTAGCAAGAAGATTATATGATTTGTGAAAAATATGCCATGTCTCAGCCTCAACTGGTTTGGAGCTTGACTTCTTTCAATTTTTTTGTTAAAGGTCCTATATTTGAGAAAATTAGATATACATGTCTATTTTGTATCATAATGCTGTTGTAGGTGCTCTATACTGTGAAAGCATGGACATGCTCAATCCATAAAGTAATGCACATAGCTTGTATTCAGAAAATGTGCCTTTAAACAAGCCACTGTAGCAGGATTATTAGGTCTGGGTTGTCCCAATCAGTGCCAAGTAGTATTACAATTTATCCAGTCAAACAATCCCTGCATTTACTGTTATACTTGTTTTACTCTGACCTAGAAAATACAATTGTTTATTGGTTAATAGCTTTATGGTTTTGATTGCAGCCGATCACCACAAGTGTTCTTCATTTTAAAGTGATGTTTGTATTGTATTAGTTAAAACCCATAGTCTGAAGTGTGTTGAAATTTAGCAAAGTATACATTTATATTTAAATTTATTTTTATATAATTGGTTCTCCTGAATCCTGCTAGTTATTTAGCTTTACAACATTTTCCCACACATGGCATATTTTTCACAAATCATATAATCTTCTTGCTACGCTAACCAGTTTTAAAGCTTGCTGAAGTGTTTTTTACATACATTCCAGGCAGCTGCTGTTTAAATTAGAATTTCTGTATGATAAATGTAAAGTTTCAAATGATGTTTGCGAATTAATTCCGTTAGACATGTACCTCGTCAGCTTCAGTTTTCACGGTGACTTGGTCACCTTCTCTGTTCTGGATGACACCCTTGATGTACAGCTGCTTAAGCTCAGGCACAAAGCAGGCTGTTCTGGCATCAAACGGGCGGTTCTGCGCCTCAATTCTCTCCTTCTCAGGTTTGCGGAGAAAGACGGATGCAGGCCCAAATTGGGCCATCTCAGCATCGGAGCTCATGTTGCTACCTGGACATTTAAAAAAAGCAAAAATGAGATATTGCAATCAATTAAATAAACCAAAATAATTATTTATCTAATGTATGTGTTACTTACCGGGTTAACAGGACCCAGTAGAGTTGTATCAGAGCCAACAATGTTGACAGATGCCACAGGGGGAAATTATAGACCAATTGTCAGTGAATGGCAGGATGCTAAGTGAACACCAGCGGGAGGTTGAGTCTCCTTTTATCAAGACGAATGTGCTGCTGAAGAAAACCGGATGCTCCCATGGCACAGGATCTTGTAGTGGTAATAGGAACATTTCTGTGGCGGCAGGTGATAATCCTCAAGCACTATTTTTACATGCCTTTCATACTGTCAAGAACTGTCATTAGCTACTTAACGTCTATGTGTTTACTGACTACTTAGCTTTTTAATGACTGATGAGCTTCTTCATCAATGTGTTTGATGTCAAATTTGGATTTAGTGATGTAAATGTTTCATTGTGTTTATTTATGGGTATACACCAGACGTAACTTAGACGTTAGAATTTGACCTGATGCATCATGACCTTCACCACCTGCTCATTCACCTCCAGGGCACCTTGCTGAGATTAAATGGATCAAAAAGCAGACAGTTGTCAGAACAATGTCGACATAACTTTTAAGGAATGTCTCATGAAGAATGAACTTTTATCCACAAAAATCAGTTATTTATTTTGGGGGAAATCTATTGAATAGTTATTACTATCTAATTAGGGATGATAATTCATCATACACATTATCAAGTTCTGAAGGTTAAGTACCTCACTTCTCTGACATAACATGCAACTCATAATTCTACAAGCAGACACTGCTCATTATTATCACTAGCTCCAGTTGGTCAATGGAACAAAAGGGAACCTTTTTTTCTATTTTAGTAGTGGTTTTCTTAAATTGCATTTTGTATATCCTAAATCTTTAGACTCTCTGTGATCCACTGATATCACTCAAGACACAATTTACTGTAATATATGTATAAGAATAGGGTAATAAATGTTGAAGCTAAATATTTCCTACAAATAGGATTTCTTTATTTTTCATCAAAACAAGAGCCACAAAGAAAAACATGCATCAAGGTTTGAGGATAGCTTAAAACTGTCTACATTATTTTACATTATTTCTATTAAAAATGTTTTCAGTATCCAAAACAAAGAAATTTAAGAAAAAGTTGTTCATCATTATAATGATTATATAACTAATATATTAATGAAGTGTATATGTTAAAACGTGTAAAAAGAAAACAGAAATGGGCCAAGAATGGGACCCTGTGGCACACCACCAATTACAAAGGCCAGATGAAGATAAAGAAGATTACATCCTGATGTGACATTCATTTACTACAAATGCTCTTTTTTTCTTATGCGTTTTGAATTGTATTCCTTTTATAATTATTCAAACCATAAGTAATTTTTCTGCAACATTTCTTAAGCCATGTGTTCAATGCCAAGGTTAGAGGCAGCCAGCCACCTTGAAGGAAATGGTCTGGTTTGCCTGTTTTGTTTACAAGTTAACACATAACGGTGTCCTGTGTAGGATCACATGACGACAGCTTTGCTACCACATTTAGAATAAGCAATGGAATCCGTCTGTAACTTGAGCTCTCATTATATTAGGGGGAGCAAGTGTGAACAGCGGGTTGTTATCATGAAAATATATCAGCATCATAGCTTAATATCCAGCAGTAAAGTGTATGTTGGTTTTGTATCAAGAAATCACAAGGAGAAATACAATCAAAGCTTAAAATCTGAATTAACTACCTCATGCGTGCCAATTAAGTTTCTTACCAACTGGTGAAAATCAAGTAGGTTTGATCAGCCTGCTCTGATTGGTTAGCTGGCCGGCTCTGTTGTGAATTGTCAACCGCTTAGAGATGTCCCGCCTCTTAGCCTATGACGTCAAATGTGTTGGAGCGCTCGCCAATAAAAGCATGAAAGTAACAGGCAGGGAGGGGAGTGAGTGGTAGAGAAAATCCCTCTGGAGGCAACTTTGTGATTTTAAACTTTGCAAATATTTACATGCACAAAAACCTATTACAATACCGGAAAGGGAGACTCCCAAAAGCATAATAAAGCTTGCAAGAAAGCGACTTGAAAAATAATATTAAACCTCTTGCAACTTGACTTGGACTTTACCACCATTGACTCAAGACTTTCCTTGGACTTGAAGCCCTGTACTAGAAAATTCCTGATATGTTCCACCAAGCACAAAAGATTAAACGTATTTTATGTAAATTACAGTGAATTCATTTACTTCCTGACTCATCAAATAATGTTAACGGTCAAGTCAGCACTTTCCACTTTGTTGTACCAGACAGTATCCAATCAAGTTGCAGGAGAGAATCATAAACAACTGCAACGCTAAGTGCCAGTTGTAAAGTTGGTACATAAAACAATTTCATTTGCGAACAAAAACAATGCAATACCAAGCCAAAAACTAATTTTAGAATGGTTAACGTGTGGGTCAGAATTAGTGACTTATGATTTGTTTAGGATTCGAAACACAGAGTTAGGACTTGGGACTGGATTGAAAAGACTTGAGACTTATACTAAGTATTTTAATTTAATATTTTTTGGTTACATTTGTACACTGTAATGTTCTTGGTTTACATATTCTTGCCACCAAAACAAACCTCCACTGTGAGAGAATCACCCTGCAATGTTGATGAAGTGGTAACCTGTTTGTCCCTTGATCTCCACTTAGTGTGAATGACCTGTCAGCTCCTCAAGTCCTCCGCTTTGCACTCACTCCTCTCTCTGAGGTAACCTTCAGCTTTTTGTACGTAACGCTCCTCTACTGAAAGTCACAGTCACTCTAACCTTCCTTCACAGGGATTTCTACAAATGTCATGAACATACCAGCTGCTGCTTATTACTGCACAGTGGACAGGAGAGAAAATATGTGGATTTTCACATGGTCCATTTCTAAAACGCAAGGTTTACAATACTCAAATGACAGGCCTGTTAGTATTTAGGTTTTTAACAGTTTTCAGTTGAAGCTGTGAGCCAATGCTAATGTGATTATTTACAGTTGAATAAGTGAGACTGCAGTGTAAATGAGCAGATTTTCATTATCAGCTGAGAGCTTCAGTTTTTAGTGATAAACAACAGTGTGGTAGCACCATCTGAATTTGTAACCATGCTTGTTTATGCAGTGATATGTTTTTCTCCAGTTAAGCGATTGTGACCATGTTTGTATTATAACATATGAGCAATATGTTTTATCAATAACATCAAACAAATCAAACAAACATTTTTGTACATTTTAATTGTTTCAAATGGAATAATGTTCGACATGAATATGGTGTCTCCATCTTTTGGCGATCTATTTTAACTGCAGGCATTGCGACAAAGCCAATGGGGACTATTTTTTTTATTTAAGATACATTTTAATAATTCTTTAGCCTTTTACAATGAAAACTGTTATATTAAAAAAATATATGTCACTGTAACTGTATTTTTTTTATTTTAAGGATTAAATATCCAAGGAGATTAAAAAACGGGGTTCCGACTGCAGGCAGGATTCATTTAATAGTATTATGTATTTCCCATAATGTTCAGAGACACTGATTGACAGGCATGCAGAGAGCATAGTTTTTGTCTGGGTAACAATGAGGTTTTAGTTTGGGTCAGTGCGTAAATATCTGCCGAGTAGACACTATTCCTGGAGCATGTTGAGCTGTGTCTGTTTGCTTTGCTCAGTCCTCACTGACCCCAGGCTTAACAACAGAGAGAATGGAGAGCAGATGAAGAAACCTAGTTTTTCACATGTTGATTTAACATCTCAGACTAGCGAGTCTATATTTATATAGATAGAGTCAGTGACAAAGAGTCTGGTTGGTCCACACTGAAATATCTCAACAACTACTGGATGGGTTTTCAGTAAACCTTCATGCTCCCCAGAGGATGAATACTAACAGCTTTGGTGATCATAAGACTCTTCCTATAAGGGCACCTATGGTTGACACTTTTAGGGATTTGGGTAAAATGTTTTGAAAGCTATTGGGAGGATTGCCACGAAATTTGGCTCAGATATTCATGTTACCCAGAGAACAAACCCACATGACTTCGGTGATCTCTTATCTCTAAGGGCCACCAGTGGACTTGACTTACAATACTTAGGTTTATAAATGAATACCTGCAAAATAAGTGACATTCCCAAGAGACACATTTAAAAATCAATGCGACAAAGGACAACATACTGTATGCAGTCAGGTCAAGGACAAACAAATAGACTGGCTCCTATATTCCCCACAATGCAACTTCCCTTTTAATGGAATAATATGATGTTGCATAGCATATGACATCAGCTGCATATAATAATAATACATTTTATTTCTATAGCGCTTTTCTTGAACCCAAAGACGCTTTACATTTGGGAGGGAGGGTAGACAAACAAAACATATATGTATATATATTAGGGCTGTCAAACGATTACAAATTTTAATCAGATTAATCACAGCTTAAAAATTCATTAATCATGATTAATCACCATTCGAACTATGTCCAAAATATGCCATTTATTTATGCATATTGTTGTGGGAATGGAAAGATAAATGAAAGAAGGCGGATATATCCATTTAACATACAGTTATGTTTATTATAACATTTTTCTGCGTGTCAAAATGAAAGACAACCCACACACCTATCAATCATCAAACCGTGGGGTCTTAATTCATTACGTGTTGATTTCTATCAACGGGGGAGTACTTCAGGAAAGTCGTTGGGGGGGGGGGGGGCGGCGGCTAGTGGAGTACTTCGTGACCACAGAGTGTGAACGTTGTGATCAGCTGTTTTAGCGCAGCTCTCCAGTGAAGGGGGGGGAGTCTCCCTCCGTAGCCGTTGGCGTAGTTTTGGCACAATTCCGTTGTACAGACCGACGTTAACAGCAGCCCTGTCTGTGCACACGGAGACCGACTCTGTCGTCCGGTGATCTTACCGCCTTCTGGAAAAGCTTCACAAGTACGTCGGTACGCAAATGCGCTTTGTGACACAAGTGACGGTACGCATTTCAGATTACGCACATAACCTGCGTACCAGTTATGTGCACCCCTGTACTACAGCAAAAGTATTCTCCGTCGGGACTTCCTGCAACAACACCACGCCGTTATCAAAGATGTTCTATTGAGAAGACGATCACTACGTGACAAAAGTTTTCAAAACCGTGGCTACTGAAATCAATCTTACTAACTGCTGTCTGTGCAATTTACTCCGCGCGAGTTGGCAGACTTTATTTTACTTCCTTTAAAGGGGACCTATCATGCAAAATGCACCTTTGGACGTCTTTTATACATGAATATGTGTCCCCGGTGTTCCAGGGAACTCACCAAGTGTCAGAAAACACAACCCTCTCTATTTTCCTCCTTCGCCAAATCTCTAAAAAAGTGGCTGAAACGGATCTGAAAAAAACGGATCCAGATTTCAACACTTTCCTACGTCACAAAGAGACGTGCTCTGCTTATTGGTCAACTCTCCACCTATCAGGGGAATGAGCCACGGCCACGTGCATTGCCGGGATCAATACCAACCATCCGGGAGCAGGCCAGTGAGGACACATCCAATTTTGAAGCTGTAAGTTTTTATTTAGCGGTGTTTTTCCTGATAAAGCTATCTCTAGCTTGTAGTATGTAGCATGTAGCTTTGCCGTATCAATGTCGCCTCAAACCCAAATAGTAATCGGTTAGGTGTTTATATGTTTTTGTAACATTTTATATTGTACGCTCCGCAGTCTTTGCTTTGTCTTTTATTTTAATTATCAGGCATTTGCTAACATGTTCAGACATACTGCCGTAATGGCCATCTGTGTGAAGGCTGTAAAGCCACACCCTAGCCGATAACACAAGTATTTATTCTCCTATTTATTAGTATTTTGTGTCCTCTAAAATCATATTGAGTAAGTTATAATAACAAACGTAATCTTCTGTAGGTAAGTGCCGTTTTTTGCAGCGTTATATGTAAAAGCTTTTGTGATTGTAGTCTGTAAGAACGATCAGATATCATCGATCTGTAAGCTAAGCTACGCTACGCTAATGAGACATGCCGTTTTTTGCAGCGTTATATGTAAAAGCTTTTGTGTGTTTACTTGTTTGCGCACATGAATATAAATGGGGGTGTGTGAGGATACAACACCGTGTGTATGTATGCGAGGGGGGACACACACCACGAGTAAAACGGAGCTAAAGCCCCGTTGGTATGTTGTTGTTGACGAGGCCTTACCTAGCAACAGGCTAATTAGTGGCTAGCACTCATTACAGTCAGTCTACTGAGCTCAGCCCCTCTCCAACACATCATCTGTATTGAGTCAGAAACACAGCATGCACGTTACGGTTCAAAACTAACTCAGATTGGAAAAGGCTAAGCAAAGAGCTTTGCTAAATAGAGAGTTTTAAGCCCCATCTTTTGGGATTTCAGACGATATTTATCCAAATAGTATTTTCTCATCCTGAATACTAAATTGAGATGATTTTGTTCCAACTATGTTTTCTTCTTTACAGGCCAGCACCTCACATACTTACTAATTAGTGACAATTTGTACATCCTTTGCTATTATTTACATTTTTTTTTCTCATGGCGGAAATGAAAGACTGTACCTGGCAGCCCTGCACTACAATGAAAACGCTGAGCGTGCACAAGCCACTACATCCCCTGGAAACCCTCTGTATAAACTGCAGTTCCCAAAGGCCAGGAAGGGAGAATGCAGAGCAAAACCAGTAAAGACTGACCCCACATTCCGTAAGTGTTTAAAATATTTATTATACAACTATTTACAAATATAAAATTAGAAAGAACTTTCAGTTTTTTACATGCATATACTAATCTAAACCACATTTTTTGTTGTGCTTTTTTTTTAACATTGCACAGGCTACGTGGCCAACTTGATGGACCTCATCTTCGACCAAGTCTTTGTGGACCCTGCACCATTATGAGCGACCTGACAGGGACGAGGTCATCGCCGGGTATGCTACACGGTTCAATTTGGCTGCTGTCTGAACCCAACATCGACATTTTGCGGATCAGGAAACTCCTGCCTCCTTGAGGAAAACGCAGACCGGAATCACCACTCTGATCCTGCGTCCAAGGAAGCCCCAGCACCAGCTCACAAAGCTTCTGTAGGCTAGATACCTGTGACGCCTGAAATCATTAAAAAAAATATTTAGTGTAATTTATACAAAATACAAGTACATTTCGTTTTTTTTTTATGGGTTCAAAGAACCGTTCATTTTGACAATAAAGTTCAGAGTTGATATCAAATGTGTCGTGATTATTCATGTTTGGATGGGTAAAGAATATTCTGATTTCAAAAGCATAAGGTTGTGTGTGGACTTTTTTTGTCGTACACATGGGTGTGTTATGCCATTGCTGTGTAATAATATATATATATATAATAGTACATGTACAATGAAAGATTGCATAAAGCCATATACACCAGTATTTATTTCCATGAACAATATTAGCATTCGTTTTACACTTTCAGTCAAAACAAACAAACCACTCACTGCTCTATTTGCCTCAACTGTAGTCCACCATGTTCAGCTCTGTAAATATTAAATGCATTCTGCAGGAAGAACACATTCAGGCACACAGGCTCCAATCCAGGATGGTCCACCACAGGTTATAGAGTCCTCAAGTTCCTGCATCCGTCTTGACACCTAGTGTGATAAAGATATATTGAATGACATGTTAAAAATGTATTCTCTAAACAGACAACTTAGTGAAGCTATCAAAAATGTTACCTGTGGTATCTCCATGCAGCACACATTCTCCGTTCAGAAGGCATCGTGGCGCAATTTGCACATGTACACCTGTAGAAAGAAGTCAATAACTGAGCTTTTAAAAACACATGAAACTACACACACTGCTGACAACTGAGGTGTTGTTGGAGTTATACTTTTTATCACCCTAAGTTATTGAACTTTCCAACGGTTGTTGCACGATGTTGGAAGAAAAGGACTAAACTATTAATAAACGCAATGAGGCCATTGTATATATGCTGAAAATATGAATGTCTCCCTTTATAAATATATATATGTATCGCTGTTTTTGCGTTACAAGCTCTAAGTTATAAACTGTACACATAGCATTCTTGCTAATTAGCCAAAATATGAACGGAATAAGTAGCAAGCATCGTAACAGAGTAAAATAAATAGGAACAACAGCTTGTCAACTAACCATTCAGAAACGTCCTGCTGCAACCGAGATGTTTCCACCTCCACCAAAACCTCCGCTGCTTCAGGGTCAGTCTCTGGATCAAATTGATAATACGCTTGAACACATGCATTGCTCTGAGATGACATGTTTATTCCACACTCGTAATCACAGCAAGCATGTTAACGTGACTCTCACCGGCTCATGCCCCCCTCTTCTGCAGGGGGCGTGGTCAGCTGCTGCTCAGAATTTTCAAAGACAGGCTTGGAAAAGAGCGAAAATGAGCGAAACGAGGCATGGCTAAAAAATGATCTGTTTGGTATTTTGAAAAATAAAATGTATAAATATACCTTATATAGGTATGGTCATACACTATATCATTTAAATATAGCATGATAGGTCTCCTTTAACATCATTTTTCATGGTGGGGCTAAGCCATTTCTTGGTATGGGTGTAGCCTACCCCAGCGCTGCCACTGGTGGCACGTATGGGGCGGGCCATTCTGCACATGCGTTAAATGCGTTAAATATTTTAACGCAATTAATTCAAACAATTAATTACCGCCGTTAACGCGATAAGTTTGACAGCACTAATATATATATATATATATATATATATATATATATATATATATATATATATATGACATTGTAGCTTACATTACATGTCACTTGTTAGACGCTTTTTATCCAAAGCGACTTACATACTCAATACTGTGGGCACACAGGAGCAATTTGGGGTGAAGTGTCTTGCCCAAGGACACAACGACATGCTGACTGCAGTGGGGTTTGAACCTGATCCGAACCTGATCCGAACACCAACGCGCCACAAGTTTCCCGTCTTACTTGAAGGTCAGTTTTTTCGATTGCTGCCACAAGTTGTACAACTATCACTGACTCAACATCTTTCTTACTGTGCAAATTAAACCACATGTCTTTATATTTGATGACTTTTAGAACATTTCTGGCTGTGTCATAAAACTGCCATAAAAATTAATTAAAAATGTATTTTCCACTTTCAGTTAAATCTTTTAGCATGCATATGTATCATAATTATTACTGCTAAATATTCATAAATGTTTTGAATTTCAACCCTTGAAACGTCCATTTGTTTAAATAATGCCAATTGTTGTTGTGAAAAAAAAACCATCAAATGTCTTTCTTTTATGAATAATAAATGCTTGGGGGATATTTTACAACTTGGGGTATGTCAATGATTAGCAACAACATTGATATGGTTGCATGCATCAAACACATAATACAGCGAATAGCATGTATTTGTCCTATAGGGCAAAAATGAGAATATGAGAATTTCTTTGCAAATAATAAAATAAAACCATTTTGAAGATTGAAAGCCATATCAAATAAAAAAGTAGGATTTATTTCTGTCATAATGGTTTTAATTGTTTTCAATTATTGTTTGTATTTTGGCTACACAGGTTCAACCTCGAAAATAAAATATTCCCTTTTAATGAATAAGGTTTAAAACCAAAAATCAATACCACACTATTTTCCTTAGACCATTCGAAATATGATATAATGAGAATAATTGGTTGTCACTACAGTTTAGATTTCTATTCCCCTTTACCGACAACATCACGGCTCTTTGATCGTAACTTATTCAACTGGGATTCTGCCGTGTCGGCTCGTTCCTCCGCTTCCTCCAGTTCATGTTGCACCTTTCGAGCTTTCGCCAAATGGACGCCGGTTTGTTCCTCCTGAGTGTCATAGAAAATATCATAAGTCAGACTGTTTTTGTTTAATGTGCACATGAACATTTCACACGTGTATTTTTACTCACCGCTTCCTCACTCTGCCGCTTGTACACTTTTACTTTCAGCTGCAGTTTGTTGACTAAATCCTGAAGTCTTGCCACGCTCTTCTTCTCCTCCTCACCCTGAAACATTTGAGGGTGTTATTTAGTTTTTTGCACATCTCACCTGGTGGCACTCACAGTTATATGGCAGGATTGTACCTGATAAGTGAGCTCTTTAATTTTCCTTTCGTATTTCCGCACACCTTTCATGGCCTCGCTGCTGCGTTTCTGTTCTGAATCCAATTCATTTTCCAGCTCACGCACCTTAAAAATACAGTCATTTAAAATCAAATTTTGTTTTATTTTTACCTACAAAGATTTGTTTTTATCCCTTTTTGATTCATACCCTGGCTTCCAGATTTTGAAGCTCTTTCTTCCCGCCTTTCAGAGCCAGCTGCTCGGCCTCCTCCAGACGCTTCTGCAGATCCTTCACTGACACCTCCAGGTTCTTCTTCATCCTCTCCAGGTGAGAGCTGGTGTCCTGCTCCTTCTTCAGCTCCTCCGCCATCATGGCAGCCTGTATGGACATTTGTATTGTATCTATCTGCACAACCTCATTGAAATGGCTCTCCGCAGTAGATTAATACAAATTTGGAGGAGACTTACATCCATAATAGATTTTTTGGCCTTCTCATCGGCGTTCCTCGCCTCCTGGACGGTATCCTCCATCTCTGACTGCAGCTGAGATAAATCTGACTCCATCTTCTTCTTGGTGTTTATGAGGCTGGAGTTCTGATCAGTAGAAATCATATAAATATGACACATTTAGTATAATTGTGAGATAATGGAGGTGGATTTGTCTCTAGTACTGTATGTGTGTGGACAGATCAACAATCTGTCTGTAAATGTAAAAACCTTTCACAAATGCAAAAATAAAAGATTTGTAAACTCAAAAAATATAATGTATTGTAAAACTGAACTGCAAAAACAAATTCTATAAATAAGAAATCTGTAAATACTTAAAATGTATTAAAGGAAAACAATTTGGGAATATCTTTCTGACGTTTTACAACTTTCAATCAGAAATGGGTGAATATAGTTTTCATTTTTGGATCTCAATTCTCTGTTATGGCTTTTGCATTTTATACTTAAGGAGTTTTAAAACAAACCTTTGACTAGGACGACTGAAAATCTACTTGTGTCACTCGGCAATCTGATAGCACATGCTGATGACATGTCTGAAATGGTTTACGCATTTCAAAGTAAGAGCATGAAGGACTTCCAACCTGAACAACTACAAGAAAAGTCACAAAGCACATTACATCTTATCGGATCCTTGCTAGGTCAAATGTAGCAGTGGCATGTAGTGTCGCTTGTGTGACGTTGTGTTACACGTTGCACGTTTATCTGGTCTCTATGTGTGTTGGCCAGTGTGAACTTTTCTTCCAAAACTTTTCATCTAACCTAATGTCTTGTTTCTTGTCCAGTTCTACCCTATGCAATCAATGGGTACACCATTAACTTTGACATTGTTTCCTTATATATCTTTCTGGTACAGCCGTGTCCTAACCTGAGAGTGCAGCAGCTGAATCCTCTGGCTGAAGTCGATCACTTCCTGCTCGGCCAGCTTGCGACTTCTCTCAGATTGCTCCAGCGCCGCCTTGATCTCCTCGTTCTCCGCTATCAGGAGGTTGGTGCGGCGCTCTGTGATGGCTAGCTGCTCCCTGAAGTCCTCCTGACACAGGAGCGCTTCATCCAGGTGGACCTGGACGTCCTGCGGCAGAAAGCAAAGGCTTGGAGCTTCAGAGGGGAGAAACTAAGATGAATAGGGTAAATATTTTAACTACTAGATATCACCGTTTCACTTGCCCAATTATTTTTCATATGACAAATTCGCTGAATTTTTCTGTTTCAATAATTAAATAAGGCATTATAACACGTGCTAATTTGTATACAGCACCAGAACAGAAATCCAAACATTGCATAAAACAAGGTTAAATATTTTTAACAGTTATTATCGATTCAAATATGTAAGTCAATAGGCGCTTTCACACTGGAGTATTTTTCCCAGTATAGTTCGGATATAGTTCAGAAAATGTGCGTTCACACCAAAACAAATCCAGAACTAGAAGCTTTGTTACGGTTTGTTACCCCAAGTAACAAACAAGTTTTGTGAAGCCGCCATTTTATTTGCTCGCATTAGCATTATTAGCATTAGCCCAGCGCACAAACGGTAAGAGACTAACTTATGGCAACACAAAATAAAACGTGGAGATGAGGAGGTGTCGGCGTTCTGGCGATTTACTCGGAATTCTTCTACTGAAGCCAGTCCACAAGGTTATGGCTAGAAAGGATCCGTCTAGTGTAAAACTCTCGCAAGAGTTTGCAAGTCACGTGGCTGACTGTTTACGTTTGGCAGGCAGCCTTTCAGTTACGATCGTTAACATCAGTGGGCCACATCAAATGATGGTGAGAAGCTAAACTATCTATTAATTATGTCAATTACGGGGAGTGTGATTGTTGAAATAGGGTGTTAGCGGTCTTGCTGTTCAAAGAAGAATGACAACACTGTAGATCACCAACACTATGGTTTATTTTTTATTCACAGGCAAGTCAACGTTGTTGCAGTAAAAGTCCCAAGATAGCTCCTGGTGCAATAAAATGTTCCCTTTCAGTGTTTTACTATTATGTCTGATGTTTCTCTATTAATATTGCTGCTGCATTAATGTGTATGTTGCATGTTAAGGCCCTGACACACCAGGCCGAAATCGGCCGTTTTCGTTAGTCGGACGACGAAGCGTGCCCTGTCGCCCAAACTCAATTTGGTGTGTCCCGCACATGGTCCCGCACCGCCGGCCATGACACGCCTTATTTGGCCTTTCATGGCCGACGCATGGCTGATTCAACATGTTGAATCGGCCGTGCGTCGGCCACAGGCAGTCGGACAAAGAAATCACTCTGATTGGCTGTTCAGCTAGCGAATCAGTGCATGAGAAGCGAAACGGTTGCTTGAGAATGTCTTCCACAAGCAACACTCCAATGGCTGATAGCTCCAGTACCGCACGAAACATGTTTTCGATGGACGAGAGTGAAAATGGAACGCACACGCTATTTGTTGTTTGTTTATATCACGTAGTCTGTTCTTCTTCTCTGTCTTCCGGTTGTTGTCTCTTTTGAATGACGAATACACACTACCGCCGCCTGCTGGTAAGGAGAGTTATTGCCGCTCACGCATGCGCAGTTCGTACGTGCTCGGCTGAAGTCTTTGCGGTGTGTTCCAGTGCGACACAAGGCCAAGACGCAGGAGAACACGCCGACGCAACAGTCGGCGTCGGCGAGTTCTCTGGTGACTGCTTGATGTGTCAGGGCCTTTACTGCTGTAGATGTGTTTCCGAGCCGCTCCAACGAGAGTTACAACGAGAACGTGACGTCATATTTACACAAGACGGATCCTTTCTAGCCATAACCAGTCCCCAACTCCGGGAACTTCCGGCCGGGGAATTCGGGTGGCAGTATACGCCGTGAAGTTGTTTGCGGCCTGCCAGTAAACTCAAAGCAGAAGAAGAAGAAGTGACGTCAGTGGCCTCATTTGCCTAATCCTCCCCCAGGGACTTATTCCGGTGTGAACGCGATCTGCTCTTTAGTTCATGAGAACTAAAGAGTTCTCATGAACTAAGTTCTCTCTGTTGGTCTTGAGAGGGAATTTTGCATATACGTTTTTTTTATATATCTGATAATAGTAACGGTAATAAAATTTTAAAAAATGTTTTTAATAGAATGTTACATAAATCAGGCTCTGATATACCGATTAATAATTAACAGATATCACCTTGAAAATTCCCCAGTTGATTACTTATATTCAGTCAATTTATTTTGTATACCACGTTTTCTGAAATGTAATGCTAAAATATGTATGTGAGCGATTATCTATTGCACATTTTCGGTGAATGTAGGAGATCTCAGTTATGGATATACTGTATGTTATGGAAGCAAACTAGACAAAAATCTCAATGTGAACCTGTGATTTAAACGTTTTCTGCCTGTAGTGTCGGCATTGGCATAAACCAACCTTCAGCTGCGCCTGCAGGTTCCTCAGCTGTTTGGTGGCCTCGGACGCCTGGCGGTTTGCGTTACTCAGCTGGACCTCCATCTCGTTCAGATCCCCCTCCATCTTCTTCTTCATCCGCATGGCATCGTTCCTGCTGCGCGTCTCGGCGTCCAGCGTGCTCTGCAGAGTGTCCACGGTCCTCTGGTTATTCCTCTTGAGCTGGTTGATTTCCTCGTCCTTCTCAGACACCTTTCCGTCCACCTCTGACTTGATCTGGTTCAGCTCCAGTTGAAGGTGCAGGATCTTTGCCTCCTCGTGTTCCAGGTTGAACTGCAACATAAAACAAAGCCCTTAATATTGTGTCTATTATAATGAAAAATGTATCAATATGTGTCGTTCAAGAAGTAACCTTGATGGTTTATTGAAAGGCCTATCTGTCACAAGCCCAAGGGCCAAAAGTCTCAGGGGCCCCCATGGCTTTCACTTAAAACTTAAAATGACCACAAAGACACACAAAAAGAATCACAACAACTACGAAAGGCACAAAACTACTACACAAAAAGATGCATGACCAAAAAAAACAATAGAAAAACTGAAACAATTACAAAGAAGTGACACTAAACAACAATAAAGAGACAACTAATTACTACAACCCGACACAAAAGGACAATGTGATACAATATTACAACAAAAAAAAAAGATTACCAGCAAGGAACACAAAATGGTCACACAGACACAAAAGGACTAAAAAGTTGTAAAAATGAATACGAAGGGATAAAAAGAGGTCACAATAGAACACAAACGTCTACAAAGAGACACAAAATGACTACAAATAGAGGAAACAAAAAGTCTGTCTTTTTGGTCCTACAGTACGGACGTATTTACCCAGGAACCTGTCTAATAATCCGCCCATGGACAAAATACACACCTCCACTTCCTCCAGAGTCGCCTGGGTTTCTCTCCTCTCCTGCTCGGCTTGCTTTGCAACTTTCTCCAGCTCATGACATATGTTAGTAGATTGTCCGACTTGCTCTGTGATTTCTGTAATCTCCTCTGAAAGTGTAAAGAAAATAAAAATATGTATTATCATCGTGAGTCAGAAACAAAAACAAACAACACCAAATGCATGATTTGTTTGCAGCAGAGCTCTTACGCTGAAGGTTTTTATTCTCTCTTTTCATCGACTCCAGATGATCCAAAGCCTCTTCGTAGGAATTTTTCAGTTTGAAAAGGTCTGTGCTCAACACTCGAGACTCTCTCTGGGAAACCTCCAGATCTGACTGACTCTCCTCATGTTTCTGTTTATATTCAACCAGAACCTAAAAGAGGAGAAGACTGGTTTAATAAAACCCTTAAACATCGGGAAAAAGAGGAGGAAACAAACAAACCTTGTCAAAGTTTCTCTGTTTCTTGTCCAACGCCGCATTAGCTGCATTTGACCTTTCCAGCTCCACCATGAGATCCTCCACCTCCGCCTGCAGCCTCAGCTTGGTTTTATCCAGAGATGCACATTTGACATTAGCTGCCTCTGTCATTTCCTCAGACTCCTGCAGCCGCTGAGCCAGCTTCTTCCTTTGGAAACCAGACATGATTGGTGTTAAAGTGGAAATAATGCATCAGCAGTGACTAAAAAAACATGGAGCCATTTCTTACTTAGCCTCCTCCAGCTCCTCGGTGCGTTGGATGGCGTCCGTCTCGTATTTGGTCCTCCACTGGGACACGTCGCTGTTGGCTTTGGACAGGCAGCGGTGCAGCTCCCCTTTGGCCTCCTGCTCCTCCTCATACTGCTCCCTCAGCAGCTCACAGTCGTGTCGAGACGACTGCAAAGCGTGCGCCAGGGCGTTCTTTGTCTTAACAAAAGCGAAAACATATTCATTACAACACTGGTTTATTGCCTGAAGTAAAACTGCTTCATCAAGATAGTACAACATGGTAAAGCTTGTTAACATTTTGTATTTTATAACCTGATATTGTTTAAGATACATTATTGGCTAAATAAGCAGTCAACGCAACAGCTGAGGTACAACTTGCTGTGGACCAATGAATCTCTGATTCTGATTCAGCTGGAAATGTACCAGTACAATCATTTTGATTACAAAGGTTACACAAATTGTAAAACAAAATGACTATTATAATTTCACAAAAAAACACATACATTTTGCAAATGTTTGGTTTCATATTTGCATTTCTGCCACTGCTGTGACATGTTCACCTGCCTTAATATTCAAACAGGAGTTTTCTTTTCTCATACTATCTGTCCTGCAGCACTCTTTTCACCTTCTGTCTGAAACCAGAGCCCAGTCTGCTCTGATTGGTTAGCTGGCCGGCTCTGTTGTGACTGGGAAACTGCTTAGAGATCTCCCGCCTCTTAGCCTATCACGTACAATGTGTTGGAGCGCTAGCCAATAGAAGCATGAGTGTTCCATAGTGAAGTCACAAACAATGTTACGGAAGTAAACAAAGGAGTCAGCTACCAGGGGCCCAAGGTGCCAGTTATCTATCAACTGTTGAAAATATATAAATGTTGCCTGTATTGCTTTTGAATTTTTGAATTGAATTGTGTCTTCAGACCTTAGTTTCCTCATCCAAGAGTCGCTTCAACTCTTCAATCTGTTGACCTCCGACGTTTTTGATTCTGTTCAGCTGCGACAGAGTGATCTCCTTCTCCTCCAGCATACGGGTTAGCTCACCTGTTTGATAAATGACACAAAATAAATATACCTACATCTTAATTGTATCTTATAAAAAAGTTCACATTAAGAAACGTACCATTTTCAGTTGTTTGGCGAGCACTGAGCGTTGTGTAATCACTCGGAGACCTCTGGGCTTCGTCTGCTTTGGTTTTATATTCATTCATCTGATCTTCAAGGCTCCTGCACAGTTTCTCCAGATGAGCCTGAAATATTTAACACCTATTATAAGTATCAAAAGAGGAGCGTAGAATAGAAACCATCGTCATATCTGGAGATCTTTTACCTTGCTTTTCAGGACACTCTCCGTGTTGCACGCCATGTCGTCGATTTCCATCTTCAGCTCACTTTTCTCCTTCTCCAGTTTCTGCTTGACTCTCTGGAGGTTTTCGATCTGCTCGCTGAGTTCGGCCACACTGTCGGCCTGTTTCTTGCGCAGAGTTGCGGCGATGGCATCGTGCTGCAGGGTGGATTCCTCCAGATCACGACGCAGCCTCTGAAAATCGGCGTCGCGCTTCTTGTTCATCTCGGCCTGAGCGGCGGTGGCCCCCCCGGCCTCATCCAGCCTCTCGCTGATCTCCTCCAGCTCTCGGGACAGATCACATCGCTGCTTCTCCACTTTGGCTCGAGCCGAGCGCTCAGACTCTATTGCTTCTTCTAACTCTTCAGTGCGAGCCTACAGGAAACACGTGTTTAAAAACCTGTTCAACTTCTTATGATAGTAAAGAAAATGCATTGGAAAATATCTACTATTGTTATGAATCAGGCTCTAAACTGGAAAAAGGGCCTTTTGAAAATTCTAACATAAACTCATAAAATAAAAACACAACACTGTCATTGCAAGTGACACTCAGTTGACTTTTATGTCCAACTGCTAAATTCGTTATTCAGGCACATTTTTTGTTGCGGTCCATATCTCATTAAAATATCTAATGTTAGTAACTATTAAAGAAACAATGGGGACAATTCTGTTTTAATGTAGTTTTACCGTTGTTACTGCTGTGCAGACATAGGCTACTGATAACATAGGGCTTCTATAATTACCTTTTTAAACTCACTAATTAATTAAATCAGTTCAATACGCATTATTCTTATCATTCTTTATGAGCGTAGTAACGGTAAGGTATCTAATTACTTATTTATTTAGAATTCCATAACTTAATAACAGAGATTGTCCAGCTAAAGTGGAGACATGGCAGAAATCCTACAATAAAGCGGGACAGTGAAGTGTTCTCCGTGAGAGGGCGATCAAGAAAAAAAAGGGTGAGGGAGTTTACGGAGCAGAGTAAAAGACACAGAAAGACAGAAGCACAATAACAAGTATATTTAGGTGTTTTTTTTGTAAGTAACCGACGGTGTCAAGAGGAAGTAAAGTCCCCTGGTTTGTCCCCTATACTCTAACGGGCAGGAGCCAGGGCAGGCGTTTGGTGTGATCACCATAGCCATATGAGGTTGGACTCGGAGGGCTTTCCTTTGCTTCCAGCTGTCAGATTGTAAACAAAGTCACGTGACTAGGGGCAGATGACAGCGCGGACAAGGTGTGTTTCCCGCAGCGAGACGCTACAATACTAATTGTGGGTTTATCATGTTGATTCAGCCACAATAGAAAACAAAAAAAACTCTTGCTCTCTCCAGAGGGGCAGGTCAGGCAAAAATGGCAAAAGGGCCGTTGCCCGGGCAACATTAGCCCGTACCTGTGCACGTCCCTGTTATGAATCATACCTGAAGCTCTTTAATTTTCTTTTGTAGTTGGGTATTCAGAACTTGGTCAACATCGACTTTGCTCTGCAGATCGCTGATTTCAAAGTCCTTTCTGAAAAGAGTACATTTTCAGCACATCAGATATTTCCATGCTTTATTACAATTAGAAAACAAAAATGCCTAGCAAAAACCCATAAAAACAAGAAGTTTCTACATATTTTCCAACATTTTGGAAAATATTCTGATTTGTAGCTGGAGTAAGCAGTCAGTTAGCTTTGCTTATAGACAATGACTGAACAAAACGGAATCATTTTTGCTTTTGCTTGTACATTACACTTAATGTCTTAAATAGTTAGATTTATATGATCTGGTAGGCAGATTTTAGTATTGAATACTTATTTGAAAGTGCTGACATATTCAATTTCCACAGTTTGATATTTAAGTCGGCACCAAGTAAACTTTATAGACATTTGAGATATTGTACACAGCTATTTATTTGTTGGGCAAACATTGTTCCTTTTGGACAGGGGTGTTTTATTAAACTGAATCGATGATAACTGTAAAATAAACCTTAAATCATGTTAATAATATGCATACATTATGATAATATCATGTAAAATAATCTAGAGCAAATTTCTTTTAAATATTTTTCAATTAATATATATCCTTCAATATATCGCTTTCCCCCAACGCCCCTTAAACAAATTAGTGTTTTTTTATTTTTATTTAAATGAAAAGATAAATGAATATGAATTCACTAGTAGCATAATTATAATTTTCTACAAGTATCATGATAACCGCCTGCTGCGATAACCGTGTATCGTGAGAGCGCTACATTGATGGACAGAACTAGGCTTACAGTTTCAAATGATGTTCTAAGCTAAATGGCTGCAGATACAGACTGAATGTACATACATGACATTGGTGTAATACTCCTCTTAGCAAAAAGGAAAAAGTTTAACCCTTACAAACTAAAATGCTCAGTTACTAAAAGTCATTTTATCAATTTTATTTCTAAGGAATAATAATGAATCACCCAACAACATACTTTTTCAGTCTCTCCTCCGTTTGCTGCCTTTCATTCTCCAGGTCCATGGTGGTTTCTTGGGACAGCTTCAGATCCCCCTCCAGTTTTCTCCTGAATCTCTCCAAGTCTGCACTCACCTTCTTCTCCTGCTCCAGCGAGCCCTCCAGCTGCAGGAGACAAGGAAGCAAAACCAGGGAAATGATGCAAACTATAGATATGTATCTCACACAAACATCTCCAAACAAACAACCTTGATGATCTAATTAAAACATGGATGTTGTGGTCTGTACTCACGTCATCAACCTGTTGCTCCAGCTTGATTTTGTTCTTCATCAGAGTGTTCACTTTGTCCTCCTCGGCCTGGAGGTCGTCTAACGTCTGCTGGTGCACCTCCTGCAGAGCTTTGATCGCCTTTGAAGACTTCAGCTGTTTTTCCTCAAGACTACTGAGCTCCTCTACCAAGTTTTTTACCTAAGAAGAGAAGCACTTTTCTGTTAGTTGTTGTAAATATTGTAGATTTTAGTCATCCACATCTCCACCAAAAGAGGCATGAAATCATCAGAGGAACCTTATTTTCCGTGGCATATTTCTCCTTCTCCACTTTAGCGATGGTGAGCTCCAGGTCATCGATGTCTCTCTTGAGCTCAGTGCATTCGTCCTCCAGCTTCCTCCTCTTGGCAGTGATTTCTGCGTTGATGTCCTCCTCTTCCTCCATCCTCTCGGAGAACTCTTTGACTTTGGCCTCCAGGTGGATCTTGCTCTTTATCAAACCTTCGCACCGCTCCTCGGCATCGCACAGGTTCTCCCTTTCCTGAGGAGCACATTATAAACATATTATTAAGTGCAGTAAAAACTGAAACTGTTGAAGTTAGGATGACGGTTATTCTTCTTGCCAGTACAGCCTCCTTTTTAGCTAATTATAAATAGTTCCTCATTAAACAAATATTTTTCCTAATAAAAATATTTGTTTTATTTAAATAGTAAAATGTTAATTGTGTGGCCATATTTATCTAGACCTATTTGATCAAATTTGTTTCATTTTTAAATATTTTTATTTGAATATTGTGTATATGTTTTATATTTGGCATTCTTTTTTTAATCTATTTTTAAACGCTTCGTGTGTCCCAATAATTGTTAGTATTCATATTTTTTCTGTGCCATAAACCTAAATAGTTAGTTTACCACCATCTGCTCTGTTCCTATTTATAATCTTCTACTTTTACTTTGTTGAATTTGACCCCTGCCATGTCCAATTTCCCTGCCGGAATACATTTTCTTATCTTACATCATTATTGATTATGTAGTTAAATATAGAAACAAGTGCTGTCTCTCCTAATTTCTTTATCAATAAAAGCACACCTCTGATGTTTACGTACCGCTTGGATTTGAAGGTAAAGGTCGTTCTTCTCCTGGAAGAGCATGACCATTTTCTCCTCCAGCTCCTTCCTCCTTGCCTCCGACTTTGCAAACTCCTCTTTGAGTCGAGAGAACGCCTCTTTCATGTTCTGCATCTCCTTCTCGGCCTCTGCGCTTCGTAACAGAGGCTTTATCTTGAAGAAGAGTCTCATCCAAGGCCAGTTCTTCACATTCATGAAAGAACGGATGTTGTACTGGATGATGTAAACGGACTCTCTATGGGGTGAAAAAGCAAATACATTTTTAAGGCTTTGCGTATTTTTATAAAAAGCATTTTTACTGCCTAAAATACTTACATTAAGTAGATATGTTAGCCAAGTGTTAGCCAACACCTGCATGCTAACAGGTTAACCAGTCTAAGACCTTGATGTTAAGCAGGTATAAAGATAACCATATTCTCTTTCTTAGCATAGCTTGTTAGCATGCTAACATTTGCTAGTTAGCACTAAACGCAAAGTACAGCTGAGGCTAACTTTGTCGGAAATAAAGGGTTTGATAAATTAAGATTGTTGACATTCTAGTGGCGCTAAAGGAAAATCATTAGCATCTATCCAGATTCCTGAGAGGAACATACATGTTTGAAGAAAATCTCATGACAATCCATCAAATTGATGTTAAGTCTTAAGATATTTTAGTGTTTTTAAGTGAAATCCCAAAACACACATGCATTTACCACGTATTGCCCTATGTGCCACAAAAGACAATGAAACTTTCTTGAGATTTAAAGTTTAACTATTAAATACATGTTTTCATTGTGCTTTAATTCTGTAAAAGTCCCCTATCCTTATATTTCCTAGAAATGTCTGGTAGCTTTGTTCAACTAAAGTCATGCGTATATAAAATAAATGTTAGTAGACCTTTTCTTTGACATCTCCGTCAGCCGCAGCCTGGTGACGTAGCCTCTGGAAACGGCCTGGATTCGAGTCATCAGCACAGCCAGACGCTCATCCCTCATCTCCTCCAGGAGACCCAGCAGGCCCGCTTTGAAAAACACCTGGAACATGAGAATAAACGTTAGGAAGAGGATTAGGGCCAGGAATAGGGGAAAAAGCAACATTTGTATAGGTGGAAAGGTCGAGAATTAAATAAAAAAATAGCAGTGAATGCTACGTGTGATCTATTCTGAGAAGTTCTAAATTTATTCCAGACATTTCCACTTTTTAAAAGGTATTTAAAATATATTCTCAACATTATTACTGCAGTGGTGGAAAAAAGTGACTAAAATCCGATATCTTATCGAGACTGCTTATAAAATCGTACTCACCTAAAAATACAATAAAAACCGAGACAAACAATGTGAGGTTTTTAAGATACCTTTGTGTATCCAAATCGATACTGGGCATGGTCCACATCGATAGAAGAGAGAAGTTTCTCTGAAGCCTTCTTGCTGTCGATAAACTGCCCCTCCGGGATCGCACTGGCGTTCAAAATCCTGTATCTGTCACACAGTAAATGTAAAATAGTGTACAACATACAATACAAATAAAACAGACAGAATGTTGTGATTTACCTCTGCCTGAAATCCCCATAGAGGATCCTGCTGGGGAATCCCTTCCTGCAGATCCTGATTCCTTCCAACACGCCATTACAGCGCAGCTGGTGAAGGACCAGCTGGTGATCCATGGAGCCTATGTGGAAAATACAAAGGAATAGTTCAACAAATGTTTATCTTGAGTTAAGATAACTACGATTTGATTTGTTTGAGATCTGTAACAATTAGTAGAATAATTGTTTTGTGCATCGAAATGATCATCTATTTTAAATGTTTAAGTGATTTTTCATTTTTCAGCCTTCCCATTTCCTTTGTTTTAAAATGTATACAACATTAAAGTTATTATTTTAGGGGGTTTGGACTTAAAGTTGTTTCAAAGCAAACCATTTTCCTCAGTTTTTCAAACAATTTCGTAAAGGATCATATCAATTATATACATGTATTTGATTTATTTAAAAGAGTTAACAATCAAAATAGCTTTCATTACTGTCATTGAATATATAGCTAGAGCTAGCAGCTTGTTAGCTTAGCTTAGCATAAAGAATGAAAACAAAGGGAAACTGCTTGTCTGATTATAACAAAATCCACCTACAAGCACCTTTAACGTTGAATAATTAACACTTTTCTTGGTGTGAGGTGAAGATGTGTGAGGCTGGTATAAATCGTGTTCTTTTAACTTCATAATGAATATATTTCTTCTCACCTGGTGTCTTGGTTTCATTGGGGATGATGCATCTCACAAAGTGTGGCTGTGTGGAACGCAGGTTGGACATCAGTTTATTCAGGTTTTCCTGAAAGAAATAAACATATTATTGTCTATTGACAAGAAATTGTTCTATATAAAATAATCAACAATATTATAGTTGTATCAAAGGAATAAATAAAAAAAGAATTAAAAATAATAGTTTTAGTAACTTTTACTAACTTACGAGACAGACACAAAATAAATTCATCATTATTGATAATTACCCTGAAAAGTGCTGAAACCGTCTGAAAAGAAGATCCTTTTTTCTTGGCACTTCTCTTACTTCCATCAGCTACAATAAGTAGTAATGATAAACACATTAATACATCAGTTATTATCAAAAACTACTATACTGTATGTATTATTCTCAAAAGTGCTGTAAAGCAGAATTATTGCTTTGACTTTTGGTACTTTAAGTATATTTGGATGCCATTATTTTTAGACTTTTATGTAAATTACATTTTAAATACAGTATGTTGCATGCAACATACTGTATTTAAGCCATGTGGTATTATTCATTTTAATTAAATAATAGAGTACTTCTTCCACTTCTCCTATTCAAAGTGAACTGACCGTCAGCAGTGGAGTATGTTGCGAAGAGCTGTGAGAGCAGCTTCAGGGAGGCTTTCTGGTAAAGCTGCACCACGGTGTCGTTGAGCGGGTCTTTGTTCTTCTCCAGCCAGCCGCTCAGGTTGTAGTCCACGGTGCCGGCGTAATGCACCAGGGAGAAGTGGGCTTCAGCCTTTCCTTTGGAGGGCTTGGGCTTCTGGAAGATGCTGTTCTTCCCCAGGTGCTGGTCGTACAGCTTGTTCTTGAAGGAGCCGTCTGTTGCCTTTGGAAACATGCACTCCTCCTCGAGGATAGAGAAAATGCCCATCGGCTGCAAGGAAGAAGTAATGAGTGTTGGAGTAAGATAACGGCTTGGTATAACGTTGAGAAATGTTGCACCATTTGAAACAAACCAGTTTGAAATTAATTAAATAATTATTGCTCTGCACTTCTAATTCTAGCTGATACATACATGCTAATATAAGAACATCTTCAATGTAACAATTTTTGATTACACATTTCTTTAGTCACAGGGGTGTCCATTTCCTCACTGCATTTACCTCGGGCTGTGCATATTTTATTTATTTATATATACACAATATGAATGTAATATATATATATATTTTCTACATTGTCAAAAAGGGTACTTGCTATTGGTCCACTGTCATTTTTTAAAGTATAATTTTAAGTATATTATGTGTTCCTATCTATGTATTCATTGTTATTGTTAATACTGCCTTGCTGTTTTCAATCAGTTTATTTTGATATTAAAAAATGCAAACTAAATTTCCTACAAGAATATGCTAAGCACCAACTGTTTTAAATACAGTAAAAAAAAAAGAAGAGAAATCACAACAAATATATGTGATTATAAAAAAATGACGCACCTTTTCAATGAGCTCAATGCAGGCTGCCAAGTCCATGCCAAAGTCAATGAACTCCCACACAATCCCTTCCTTTTTGTACTCCTCTTGCTCCAACACAAACATGTGGTGGTTGAAAAACTGTTGCAGCTTCTCGTTGGTGAAGTTGATGCACATTTGCTCCAGGCTGTTCATCTGGAATGGACAACAATGATTACAACAAATATAGACATTATTTCACAAAGATTTGCTCCATCTTATGTAGAAGTGAATCCTGTTTACCTCAAAAATCTCGAACCCTGCGATGTCCAGGACGCCAATAAAATGCTGTCTTGGTAGTTTGGTGTCCAGCTGCTGGTTGATCCTGGTGACCATCCACAGGAACAGCTTCTCATACACCGCCTTAGACAGAGCCCCACTGGCGTTGTTCACCTGGAATCAGAGGGGGAACAAGTTCTCATATTATATTCCTATATTCAAAGCTTATTTCAATGTAATTTTTTTATATAGACTTTTCAGATGTAGAAACACACTGTACCTGCTGAGGAGTCTGTCCCTTGGTGACATACTCATTCCCCACCTTCACTCTAGGATAGCAGAGCGCCTTCAGCAGATCTGCAGAGTTCATGCCCATCAGGTAGGCCACTTTGTCAGCCACTGTGGGACAGAAACCACACGTTATAATGTAGGCTTGTCAAATGTATCCTGCAACCCTATTTAGTTTAAATTGAGCTTGGAAGTCTCACCCTCTGTGCCGTCGGGCTCCGCCTGCTCCTCTCGCTGCTTCTGCTTGAACTTCATGTTCCCATAATGCATCACAGCACCAGTCAGCTTGTAGATGCCAACCTTTTCCTCCGCGTTGAACCCCAGGATGTCGATGGCTTTCTGAGAAACAGACATGGATGTAGAAACTTTATGATTAGTACATTTTGGAGTAGATTGATGGTAGTTTCATCACATGCAAAAATATTTTATTATTTTTAATCTTACTTTTATTTAAATGATTGATTAATGCTCATTCCATTTATTTAAAATTATATTAAAACTTATAATGAAAAAATAAGTAATTCATAACAAGTGGTTGGTGTACTGAAAAAGTATAAATACATACATAAATAAAATGTATTCATAATAATAATACTTTGTTTAAGTGATTTTTACAGAAAATGATATCGTACATTTCTTGTTTTCCACACATCGCTTAGTCTGTGTTTCATGGTTTTTGCATGTATTATTTATAATGATTTGACGCAGGTGCACTCACATCAGTGGCCATCAGCTCCTCAGTGTCGTTGATGCTCAGCACAGTGAGTTCCCCCTGGCTGATGAAAGGGTAGTCGTACGGGTTGGTGGTAATCAGCATCATGTCTGAAATGAAACAGAGAAAGTTCTGATTTCTCTGTGTAGGGTCAGTGCGGCATCAACTTCACAAAAAGGGTTTTACCGATTAATTCAGGCTTCTTGTTTGACATGATCTGATAGAAGATGTGGTAGCTCCTCTCTGCTGGCAGCTGAAAGGTCACTCTGGATTTCTCCAAAAGGTCTTAAGAAAATAAACACAAGTTACAAACAGATATATTGTATATAGCAGTGGGATATTAATGACACTGATATACTGTAAGCACACTTACACGTTTCAATATCAGCTGAGGCCAACTTCCCCTTTGTTCCAAAGTGGATGCGAATGAACTTTCCCTAAAAAAGTAAAAATTTGACAAATGATTTCTAATTTTGTTACAACTGACAAAAGCTTTGATATTTGGAAACTGAGAACCAATGGTAACATAGTAAAAAATTACGTTTAGTAAAATACTGGTACAATTTTGAGGTACTTGACTTCCGTATTTATATATATATAATAAGTATTATCACAATTTTTACTTTTGATTCTGAAATCTGCAAAATCTACACTGTGGTATAACTTCCTTTACTTATATTAAATAGTACTTATTCTACTGCTGTTGAGAATTACCATCTTAATATTTATTTGATCCGCTTTTAACTAAAAGTTAATTATAATATTAACATTGTAATACTTCCTTGTGATACCATACCATAATGGTTTTCTAATTATCAAGAGATAACAGGTCAAGGTTTTGACATGGGGTCAACATTGCTTTAGTAGGCCAATACCCCAAGATGGAGAGAAGATATCTACCACAATTTGACAAATCATTGAGGAGTTATGGCACATTTTCTGGTAAGCCCCACCCTTTGAGTTTTTTGATTGGTAGCGTGTATGTTTAATAACCTTTTTATAGGCTTTATACGACATTTTGTGTTGATTAAGTCAAAATCTTTAAAAGCTATATCTAATGTTTCTAGCTTTTTCTTTCCCTTCAGGGTCTGAGGCGTAATAATAATATTAGTAACTTTGAGCTTCCGTACAGATCAAAGTTGGACTTACAAAGCGAGAGGAGTTGTCGTTCCTCACAGTCTTGGCGTTCCCAAAAGCTTCGAGCAGAGGGTTGGCCTGGATGATCTGATCCTCCAGATTCCCCTGTGAGCTCAAACAATGTGGAAAACTTAAAGTCAGTTAAAGGTTTTTACATAAATAATTTGGGATATGTCTTTGTATGACAAAAAAAAAACTAATCTCATACATTTTGCAAGACACTATAGGTGAATAGAGTAAAACGTTAGGAGTAGAAGCCACCATTCAGCTTCCCCAGTTGATCATTTTCACTCAAACATTTTGTATTACAAGTTTTCTGAAATATTATCTATGCAAATGAGGCATTAACAAAATAGCTCATAAACTCATAAAATTAACTTCTGTTTTTACCTGTAATGTCTTGCATTAAACCAGTTTTATTCTATCTTTTTCCGGACATTGTTGTATCTAACAGGTACATTGTTATAATGTGATGGAAGTCGACTGAACCTGCATTTTTCCGGGAAGTTGCTCTTTCTTGCTCGAGTCTCCGACCGATGCAATTGTTGCAAAGTACTGGATGACTCTCTTGGTGTTGACGGTCTTCCCGGCACCAGATTCTCCACTGACAAACATCAGCATGAGATAGGGATGAGGAATTGAACTATATTGACAGTCTATTGTTTAGCGGCTAAAAAAATGGTACTTACGTGATCAGGATAGACTGGTTCTCACGATCTGTTGAACGGAAAATAAACTGGTCAACTTTGGTATTGGATTTGGCTTTTGCCTGTATTTGAGGTGTCATCTCTTTAATGTTCACTCAGCTTTGAGGTAGTTTTAATCCCATTGCAGATGCTACATCATTTTGTTTAACTTTTACTAACACTTGTATCTTTGTTCTATTTTAATTATTTTTGGCAAGGGTTACTTTTGAGTATGAAGTCCTACATTTGTCTCTATGATATACAATTGTTAAGACTGAGACACAAATGAATAAATATTTAACAAACAAAGTTAATGGGTCTGGAAAGTAACTTTGATTTTCTTCATTTAATCCTATTGCACAATCAAAAAGGCAGGAAGTAAGTGAGGACATTAACTATAGAACTTTCATTTGAATGTTTCTATTTTCTGCCTTCACTTCAATACATCAAACCATCATTCCTTCACTTCATTTATTTATTGAATTGTTTGAATTCATTTGATGATTTACATTTTTTTAAATGTATTTAATCAACTTATTATAACATTGTAATGTATTATTATAGATTAATAAAAAACATATATCATTTTATAAGTTTAAATTCACAAGCTTCTCAGCAGTATAAAAATAATGATAACTAGTCATTTCTAGTGATAAACAATAACTAACTATATTTTAATTCGAATTATTTTACACCTTTACTCTAGTAAGATTGCGAAAGCAGACATTCCACTAGTAATAGAGTATTTCTGCACTGTGGTATTTCTAAAAAAGCAAAAACTGTGGTAGAAAATATTGTATTCATTTCCAACACCCAATAACTAGTTGGAAATTATGTTTTCTCTGTTTTCTTTGGAGGATATTCTATCCTTAGAATAAACTTGATGATGCTTTTAAAGTCATCAAGTAAGCTTCAATTAGTCATATACGAGCACATCCATTTAGTAATGGTGAGCCTGGACCTTTGAGCATGTACTGGTAAGCGCTGTCAGAGATGGAGAAGATGTGCGGGGGGGCCTCCTGACGTTTCTTCCCACGGTACCCAGACACCACCTCCGGGTTGTAGACTGGAAGCCACTTATAGGGATTCACAGTCACACAGAAGAGCCCAGAGTAGGTCTGAGAGAAAAAGACGAGAGGAAAACAAATTGTGAATTATGTTGTAGGAGGTTACCCAGCTAGCGGGGAACGTTCTCACAACTTTGGCTAACGTTACCTATTGGTTCTAAAAAGGTTTTAAAGAAACGTTTTAATCTGATGTTCAAAGAACCTTTTTAGGATGTTTATTTTTTCAAATAATGTTCCAATAAGGTTTAAGGTTAACTAAGACATAACGTTTTAACTGCAACATTCAGAGGATGTTTTGAGGATGTTATTAAGGCCTGAGATGACAGAAAGTTTTTTTATAAAACGTTCCTTTAATGTGATATGTTAACAAAGGTGGAACGTTTTGCCTGCAACATTCTAAGGATGTGTTTTGGACGTTGTTGGGTAACAGATTAACGATGTTCTTTATAAAACGTTCCCTCAATGTTACATGATAGTAAATGAAGGACATTCTCCAAGAAACATTCTGAAAATGTTTTCAGGATGTTATTCTTTTTTTATAAAACGTTCCTGTTATGGCAAATATTAACACGGTCATGGTCAACGTCAGATGTATTTCTAGAGCGCTTTAAAAAACAAACTTGTTGCATTTGTTTGAAAAGGATGTTTTAAAAAAAATCTGATGTCAGCATATTTTCCTTTTGAAAAAAACAAACAAGCACGTAATTCATGATAAGCTGTAAGCAGATATTGCATGTTTGCGGTGGCATGTGTGAGTTCCCAGCTAGAAATGTTTGTTACCATTCGTTGTTCTAGGAATGTTTTCAGCGGGACGTATTTTTGGTTCCCAGAATGTTCTTCTGAAAGGTAGGATCACGTTCTTTAAAAACATTCTTGAAATGTTTGGTGATAACCTTCTAAATATGTTTTTGATAACATTGTTAGAACATTATGCCCTACTGTTTTTAGAACATTCTTAACATTTTTGGTGATAACTTTCTAAAGATGTATGAGCGCATTGAGACAATGAATAGGACGTATAAAAACGAATTTATGCATGCCAATATTCACTCACATGCACTTATAATCACACTAAGGTATGTAGGCCCACAGTATTCATAATGTCATTTGTGTAAAATATCTGAAAATAATCACACTTTTTTCTGACTATAAAGGTTGTGTCTCGTATGTAGGTTCTAACTGTTGGATAAGCTATCTGGCTGTGTGTGGTTTGTGAGGGCTGTGTATAAACAGTGTCCGCTGTTTATGCATATTTGATACAAATCGTTATTGCACCCTTTAGATTTGAGACCGACAGACATATAGAGGAATGGACCGACTGTCACTGCCCGTCCCTGTTAGTGTTTGTATGTGTTTGTTTCTACTGCGTGTCTCTCTCTCTCTGCCTGCTGGTCAGCTCTACACGGCTGGGAGCAATCTCCAATCAACCACACCTGCAACCTGCTCATACTCATTCCCTGCCGGATTGTTGCCGTGAACGGATTGTTGCCGTGAACGGTTTGTTGCGTGCCGCTCTAGCTTTTTACCAGCATATTCTTTGACAACTTTGCCTGCTTTTGCCTCACACTCATTTTTATGTCTCTCCCAGGAGGAATCCAAGGCCTTCCACACTCCCAAGACCAGCCAGGTCTCTCCACCCTAGAACAACTGTTTCCCACTGCTGCCATAACCAACCTCCACTCCCAGATCCCCTTTTCTAATAAACAAATGTTACTTTCACCAGCTGATTCCGATTCATCCTTTTACATGTGTTAATAGTCAAATTCCAATAATTAAGTAAACTATCAAAATCATCCTAATGACCACAGTGGTCAGTCCACTTACCCAGGAATTTTGAGTTGAACAATTACAGGAATATTATGTCTTTATACGGAGCCCCCTAGGGGACATGGAGAAGAAAAAAAATAATAATTTGAACAAAACAAAGAAATCTATTTTTATCAGAACAGTTCGATACGCGCCGTAATCCGAGCTAAACATCAAGAATTGGTCACAATCCGCAGCTGGAGGAGGGAGAGGAGTGCTTAGGGACCGTCTACAAACTGCAACGGGGTTTTGCGATATCTCGCAAAACATTTTATTTATTTATTTTTTCAAATAATTTTTTTTTTCTTCTCCATGTCCCCTAGGGGGCTCCGTAGGGGGCTCCGTGTTCTAATAATGTAAACATATTTTAGTAAATTGTTACCACAGAACATTTGCATAAAGTTTTAAACATAAAGCATGTTATCCTTCTCTAAAATAATAACATTCTGGCAACATAAACAAATCTAACTTGCAGCTGAAAACATTTTAAGAACAGTAGGGCATAACGTTCTGACAATGTTATCAAAAACATTTTAATAATGTTTTTAGAGAACGTTATCCTACCTTTCAGAAGAACGTTCTGGGAACCAAAAGAAAACTTCCTGCTGAAAACATTCCTAGAACAATGAATGTAACATTTTCAGAATGTTTTTAGAACCAAACATTTCTAGCTGGGTATGTGTTCATTTCAATGTAAAATCTAAATAAATAACATGTGGACCATAAACTGATGTATGTGTTTGCATTAGTTACGTAGATCATCCAGGCGGCGTAGCGCTCCTTGAGGTTGAATAGCACGGCAGGTTCGTGCAGATGTGTGAGCAGAGCCATGTCCTCCAGCTTGTCAAACTTCGGAGGGTTCATGGGCCGGATGTCGTCCAGGTGCACCGTGACAATCTGAGGAAGAATTCAAAGGTCCAGTGAAGTCCGTGACAGGTAGAAAAGATAGAAACAGGACAGAATTTATATTTATTTATTAGGCGAAACCCTACAATTGTTTTTGTTTTACCTCAGATAAGATATAACCTTTGGGACATTTTCAGTAATTTTTCAATAATGTTTGGCTGTGTAAATGCATACAACATATATTTTAGGAGGGGTGCAAGTTTTAAATATTTTTAATTTTTCAAGTTTAACCTCAACACTTATTAATTAAGTAGTATGACATTCAGACCCTTAAAGACACAAATTCACAACTGAAAGTCATGAAAACCACATTTTGGTATTGCATTGCAACATAAAATAATGCAATATATTATATCAGGCTTTAAGTGGGAGGCCTGTCTTAAAAACTATATTTATTTTACTATTTTTAAGTCATGGTATTTCGGGTTTCTGAAACAAAAAAATACAAATGTTGTTGCTAATCATTAACAAATAAATAAATGATTGTATTTAGTTGTTATCATTAAAAAAAAACACTGTAAAATTATGTGAAACATTTTTTTATTGGCTCGGAAAACAAATGAATATGGAAAAATAAAATAAAAGTGGGATTTTTTTTAAAATATTTTAGTTTTGTTGCATTTTTTGGGTCAAACAATAAAGGGATGCACCGACCTTTGCGTCCTCAGTCTCCACGGTGACACTGGATCCATCTTGGCTTCTGATCTTCCCCTTCACATACTCCTGCTTCGGGTCGGGCACGAACACTGCTGTTTTGGCATCAAACGGCATGTTTTGTGCTGCGATTCTCTCCCGCTCTGATTTGCGGAGGTAAGGGGCAGCCACCCCAAATATTTCCATCTCGGCGTCGCTCATTTTATCTGGCTGCAAGAGCGAGAAAACAAATGTTCTCAAACAGGACAACAAAAAGATGTTGTGAATTCATCATCATCATCATACTTACCAGAGTGTTGCAGACCTAAAAGAAGATCTCCCGCTCTCTACTGCTTATTGTCTCAGAAGGACAGCACAGACGTCCCTCACCCTAACAAGTCTTAAACTGCCTTTATAAGCGCTGGTCCGGCCTGTTTCGTGGGGCTTTGTTCTCCTATATTTGGAGATCTGGCTTCCATGCCACCTTGATGAAGTCAAGTATGTCCATTTTGTATTTGGAACTTGCTATGTATAGCTGTATTGTGTCACTTGTAAATGGTTTCAATTGTAACCCCTTCAGACTGTCCATTAAAAAGCAATGAATGCTAAGGAAGGCAGCTTAAAAGGCTTACGGGCCCCGACACCGCAGGCCTCATTTCTGGGATCAGGGCAGATTAGGTCTGTTAGGGCATCGCTGAAATTCTGGCATTGGCTGTCTGAGTCCAGCTGGATCACACACCACTGTTTGGGTTTGTGTTGGGAGCAGCCGGGCAACATTTAGCACATTCCAGACAGAGGCCTGGCTCTGATAAAGATCCTTCTTATATTGATACATCTAAATATGCATTTTGATATATAATTAATCATTATGGTCATCATGCTGAGTTTGTAAAGTCTACTTGAAATCTGTTTTCACTGCTTTCCCTCGTTTCTACACATTTTTATGGAAAAACCAACACTACTGATGTGAAGTTTTAATAAATTATTTTTCAGGGAACAGCAACTTAAATGTCACACTTTTGCAACATTATATCACAAGTATCATTAATAGTAGTTTAATATACTCTTGAAGAAATGAGGACCATAATCTATCGACACTTTTAAACCTAATACAAAATAGCATGCACTTACAACTACTTGTATACAACTGTTATACAACTAAATAAAGTTATTTGAAAATGTAGCCGCACTATAGCATGTTAATCCTGCATGTACCTTTAACTCACTCACAAATATACTAACTCATTTCAGTGTTTTTAACATATGAAAAGCAGTATGATAAACGTCAACCTCAATAGAGCGGTATATTGTGATACCGGTAAACAGCTATAACCAGCAGCTGGGTATGCTTCTTTACAACTGCATTTTTTTATATAAGTCCCAAATCTAGATGTTTACTTCTTAAATGCAATGCCCTATTCTCAAGCCCCAATCCAACTGGAGAATATCTTATATTGCCTAAAATTAAATCTCCATGCAATAATACACACATGTCTCTGTACCATAAAAATCAAATATATGTTCCCCCTTTTGCAACTTCATTCTTTAATTATTTGACTTTTTTTGTATCTATGCCAAGGATGCTATGTTTCAGTTGTTGGTTGGTTAGTTAGCTTGTTAGATAGCTTAGCTAAGGATTTAGGAAAGACCACTGTACCGATCTGTATGGAATTCGGGGAAAAGCATGGTCCAAGAAAAAAAAAGTTACCTTGTGGAGTGGATCACAATCACTGATTGGATACACATATAATTTTATAATGGAAACTGCGTGGATTAAGCTCTTTAGTTACCCTTCTTTTTCTTTGGTTATGATTTGGTGTTGCTTGTTATGGCTCTCATAAAGCAACAACAATTTAAGAAACCAAGTATTTTTACTCTTTATAACCTCCCTGCCTTCAGCATACTCAACCATTTCTAAGATGTGGTATTACATAGGGAACAGAGCTGTTTAAGATATGGGCATGTCTACTGGCAGTGCATCACAGACTGTCTAATTGGTGCTGATTTAATAGCCTCTTAATGTCACTTGAAGGTCTGGCAACAGCTGCGATTATAATTGGCTCTTGGTAGGCGAGGTCGGGCCGGTCAGGCAGACTTACAGTACGCCGACCCCTCTGTCACGTCTCGACAAGACAACAAATGTGTGTGTGGACGTTTTAGTGTGAGGAGGTCACGGGTTGTGGATTCAGGGGTCATGGGACAAGAAAGAGAAGAAGCAGGGAGAAAATCCCTCATCAGCTGGTAGTGCTGTAGAGAGGGCGACGTCTCACCCCGGGGGGAAATAGATCTGACGACGGGTGCATCTGCACAGGATTAGGGGGTCAACGGGAGAGACATGGAACGGCCGGGGAGTAAAGCTACTGCAAGCTACAGTCGGGATAAATGTCTCAAATCACTCTTTCTTTTTTTACTTCTAAGGGTAGGATTTAAATCCAACTTCTTTAGCTGTGCCATTTGTGAATCTAAACAGAAACAATTGATAGCTAAATAGGCTAATTGTGCTCAGACCTTTGCAAAACGGTCACTTAAAAAGGGAAAATACCAATAGGAAGAGACTCAAAATGACAAAAAAGACAGAGGCCGTTTCTCAATGTCGAGTACACATGCTGCAGAGCCACTATTTCAAGTATACTACGTCATAGAGTGGCGCAGAATGCTGAGCATTTAACATGCATTTAAACAGTCCTTCGGCAAAATGCAGTTTAGGTCTCACTTTGTTCAGTTTAGTGAAAATGAAGCTGTGACACCAAAGGCGTTTCATATGAAAATCAAATATATGTCTGTATGTCTGTACCCCACTTCTCTGTTTGTGGAAGGTAGTGATAAGATGCACATAATAGAAGATGATGTGTGATGTGATGTTATGTTGTGTTTTTTAAGTGTTTCTATCGTTTGTGTTTTTGTCATGTCTGAATCCACCACAATGTGAGCTGTGCCCCAATTCTGTACAACAGACTTAAACCTGTAGAATTCAGCATTACTACTCTTAGACTATATAAAGGTACAACTGTATATTTAGTATTATTTTTTGCAGTTATTGTAGCAGATATTAAGTAATTCACAATTTGTAAAAGCAAGAAGTGATACAAAACATGTGATACTGAAGTGAATCCAAATACTTCAAATAATGGAAGTATTTTTAAAAGATGAATCAAAATGAAGTTTAGTTTTTGCTCTCACTGTTTATGTTTGCCTAATTAAGCTGTGAATCAAAGGTGTTGTGGTGATTGTGCTTGTTTCTTTATCAGGGCACTAAATGTAATTCACTGTTGCAAATGAATTGCACATATAATAGAAGGTATTGTTTTTGGCAATGTGTTGTGTACGATTGTTGTGTTTCCATTGTTTTGGTCTGCATGTATTGTTCCCACGTAGTATTCAGTATCATATCGTTTTTTGTGATCCATTATTTTATACCAACAGCAAGTCATACGATCCATGAGCCACCGATGTACATTTTAAATTTGACATATGTCAATTGATCAAAGGCAATTCTTTTATTGAAATAATATATTATTATAATTGAAAGTACATTTAAAAAAGAACAACCACATTTTGAGCAATATTAAGAAATAAAACAACTCAATTCTACGGAACAGGAAAAGGGCCACATGTGAATTTTTCTTTTGGAGCTCTGAGATTAAAGACATAATTCTGAGACGGAATATCAGAACTCAGAAAATAATCACTTTTGTTATTGTTTTTGCAAGTCAAATTTTAAGTTTTACTACCCCATATAAAAACATAAACACGCCATAAAGCGCTCTTCACCAAATCCGACCCGCATGTTTCGCATACTGCATTTTTTGCATTTCCACTGAATAGTGTTCGCAGGGGAACAAAATGCCTTGGATATTGTGGTTTTCAACTTTAGGCGTTTATTAAAAAAACTACAACTTATCAATCCAGAAATCAATTAGTTCCATTTTGAGGGCTCATGTGACGGCGGCGTGTGTCTGGCTGCTGAACAACTGCTGTGTTGGCTTTTCTAATCCCACTTCTAAAAGGAGGAACATGACAGGCGTGAGGCAGAAAATATATTAATAAAACAATACAGATTGGTGGTGAGTTGAGATTAGAATAAATGTTATGATTTTCTAAGTGTAGCTCTTAATTATTAATATAATGTTCTCCATTACAGTGTAATACATCATCCTCCTCCAAAATAAGAAGGCTTTTAATGATATTATCAATCTGTGGTTAACCTCTGTCTGAAAGTAATTACTCATTATGGGAGAGCTCTGTGTCCTTGACAACAGTAATAAGATTAAAGAGCAGCAATTTGAATTAAATATTCAATCCATCAGAAAGTAATTCTTCCAGAAACCAAGTGGAGAAATCCTCAGAAAATTAAAAAAGATATCAAAAAAAGATCACTATACATAAATATGTCTCCATACTCTCAAAAATTAATAATTCAACTATGCAAATGTAATCTGATATAAATATTGCATTTCTTTCATTTTAAAGGGATATTCCAACATGTATTTTTCCTGCATTTTTAAAAACATTTAATTGAAATAATTTGTATAATTTAAAACGAATGTTACATTTAATAGAAAAATATTTCCTATTTTAGTTTTAAAACGTATGGCACATGTTTTGGTATAATCCAGTTTTTTCCTTTTAATGTTTCTTTATTTTAATATAACCTCTATATGTTTATTCTAAAATTGAGCAGTATTTCTAACTATGAAGGCATATGTGCAGGTCTTCCTGCTGCCACTGTTAAAAACGACAGGTTATAGTTAGGGGAATGATTTAATGAATAAAGACCTTTAATGTTCATTATCTCCCGTGGTGTTTGGCTAATTAGAACTCTTGTTTGTCTGTGAAAACATTTCTTAGAAGTTATGAATCCCAATTTCCTATTGGGATTCATAAAGTAATCCGTCTCTCTATAGTTGCGACTCAATAGATGGAACAGCTGCCTCCTGATTAAAGAGATCAACAGTTCTCTGACTGAGGCGTGGTGCTGTGTTTCCTTTCAGCACTGTGTCTAGTTTCAAATATAAAACAAACATTTGATTGTTTTCTGTTTTACTTACACCACCAATCACACATTATTTTCATGAACTGCAGTCACTACTATCTTTCCAAATATACAAGTTTAGCATTCAGTGAATTAATGGAATGTTTACAGGCTTTTATTTTGTGACTTTTTGGTTTGCTTGGAAAGAAAGGCTATATGCTAGCTGAAACTGTTGTTGTAACATTACAACCATGCAAATGCTACACAATTTGCTAAGACACAGTTCATGTACAGTACATGAACATTTTTAAATGTATCCGGAAGAAGTGCTTTTAATCCCAATTAGAAAATGGGGTGGTGGTGACCTTTGGCCTCTTGTTGCTAAAATGAGCATTACAACAACACGCTTTTTTACCTTGCAAAACCTTTTATCCTCGACATGTTTAAAGATTAATTTTAGGAAACTTGGAAAGATCATTCTGGCAGAAAAACATTCTCAAGTCCTCAAAACTTGAGCAGTGTGATTGTAGTAGTGATCGCATCACTCCAGTTCTGAAGTCTTTACACCGGTTTCCTGTCCGTCAAAGACTTGATTTCAAAATACTGTTGCTGGTTTATAAAGCATTGAATGGTTTAGGCCCAAAATACATTTCTGACCTCCTGCTAAATTATGAACCGTCCAGATCTCTCAGGTCTTCTGGTCTGTGTCCACTGAGTTAGAACTAAACACGGAGAAGTTCAGTTATTGTGCTCCAAACATCTGGAACAAACTCCCAGAAACCTGCCGGTCCGCTGCCACTCTTACTACTTTTAAATCCAGGCTGAAGACTTTTCTTTTGCCACTGCTTTTAATTGAACTATTCATATAATACACTGTAATGTAACTGTTTTCATGTATGTTATACGTTACCCTTGTTTTATTCTATTCTCTTTATAATTACTGTTTTTAAGTGTCATTTTCTAATGTGATTCTGCTGCACTATACCTTAATGCTCTTAATGTTTTATATTTTTGTAAAGCACTTTGAATTGCCTTAAATGTTGAAAGGTGCTAAATGGATACACTTGCCTTGCCTTACGACCACAGGGGGTCTCCAGAGTAACTCAAACCA